GAATTTCCTAAGCAAACCCCCCTCTGCAGGCACCGTCCCAGCTCTGAGCAGCCCAGGGAGATGGATCCCAGCTCAGGGGCAAATCTGAATTTCCTCCTATCTCAACACGTAAACGAAGCACCCCAGCAGCTGCCTGAGCAGTTTGCTGTCCCGAGCACAGGTTTCCCCAACTTTCCCCCCAGCACCACATTTTGAATCCCCCACCACGTTTCACCCTTACAAAGCAGAGCCCCGCAGGTACCCAGAGCCCCCACCCCTCACCCGCAGCCCATCCAGCAGGAAAAGCACAGCGAGCAAAGGACAAGCAGGACCAGAAATGATTATTAATCCGTTTTTTGTAGTTTTACCAGGCTGTCTGTCGTTCCGTGCTGCCTTGTCCCGGCCGTGCCTATCCCAGGACTTCTTTGCTTTTCTGGGCTAACCAAACACAGCCGGGTTACACATTAACTCCGCTCCCGCTGCAGATAAGGCTGCGCTGGCCCGGCGGCTGCTCGCAGTTCGTCCTGCAGCGGATCCGGCCCCTCACCTGCAGCCAGGCCGAGTGGAATCCATCCTGCAGCCTGCCGGCCGCCTTCCCTGCTGCTTCAGCCCGGACCTGAGCCGCCAGAGCCCGTCCGTGCCGTGCCGCGGAGCGCTGGCTGTGAGCTGGCAGTGCCCGGGAGCTGCGGGCAGCTCCGCTCGCTGCCACCCGGCTCGCTCACTTCCCTGCTGTCCCCTGCTGTCCTGGGCACGGCTTTGGCCGGAGACTCCTTAATCCGGCAGCCTGTTCTGCCGCATAGCTGCTCGCTGACAGCCCCGAGCCCAGCCTTGCACGCAATAATTATTATTCCGTCCCGGGCTGGGCGTTCGCAGCCTCGCCCGCTGCGGGTTCCTTCCCTCGGCTGCTTTTAGCGGGGATGCCGCAGCTGGGCTCGGAAAACAGCCCGGGCTGGGACAGGCTGCTGCTCGCGTTTCACCACAGCTTCCCAGAGGCCAAAAGTTTGCTGCCGTGCAAAGGAAGGTGGTTGTAAGGACAGGCAGAAAGTGTTTAGGGAGGGAAGCTTCGGCACTGATTTATTTAGGTGGTGCAGGAAGGGGTGCCCAGGTCTGCGCAGCTCCGAGGCTCCTTCTGCCTGTCCCGACCTGCAGCTGCTTTTGCCCCAGTTGGCACCGTTCCCTGTGGGCACCAAAACCCTCTGCGAGTTCCTTCCCCGTGCTGGGGACTCCTTCCCCAGGCAGCCTGAGGTCAGTGCCTGGAGCTCTGGTGAAAGCTAAAGCCCCTCAAGATGCCCACCAGGCTCATCCTCATGCCCACACCTTCTCAGAGCCTCTGCTGGGGCATTGCTCCAGCAGCATCTCCTGCTCTGCCCCTGGTACCCTCTGCTGCCTCCTCCAGAGGGGCCCAGATGTCCCCACCCTGTGGAGGGTGACACCGACCCCCGGTCCGGGTAGAGCTGCAGGGGCAGGCAGAGAACAGCAGAGCCTCCTTCTTACCCAGACTTTGGGCTCTGTTATAAAAATTGGAGCTTTTCCTGCTGATGAACAATGTTTTGGCCATTCCCCACATGCAGCATGGACTTGTACCTGCTTGACAAGGTGCTGCTCACTGCAAATTTACAAACACCCTGCAGGTAATTTCCAGGGCTGACACAGCTGCCGGATTCATTCACATTTCCACGCTCCAATGATTTTTTTTTTTTCTTTAATTTGTATTTTTAGCAAAAGGCTGTGTTGCCACACATGTTCCCTGCTCCACAGAACGGGGAAGTGGAAACATCAGCTAATTAAAGCCAGGGGAAGATGAAGGGAGAGGAGATGAGCCAGAGGCTCCCACTGGCAGTGCTGAGCCCAGCCAGGTGCTGTTCCAGAAGGGAACGTGCTGGAGAGCAAATCCACAAAGCAGAGGCTGCTGAGAGCCCCAGCCAGCCCCAGCCCCTCCTGCTGCCCCACGCTGGCCTGCAGCAGGTGAGGGATGGGGATGCAGCCAGAGCTGCTGGAGCGTTGTTACAGCCAGGGATTGAGGGCAGGATTGGTGCCAGTGCTTCAGGAGCTGTGCTGGGTGGCACGGCATCGACAGAGTTTAAACGTGGCATTCATTAATGAAATGGGTTTGATTGTAAATGAATGCATTCATTTTAATTTGAAGTGGAAGCTTTCGAGCTGAGTGGGTTTTGTCGAGTTGTGCTGGGTGCTGAGGCTGCTCTGAGAGAGGGAGGAAAGCAAAGCTGGGGTAATTTTGTTATTGCCCTGCCAGCAGGGTGTGAGTGAGCAGCAGCACGGGGCAGGGGTGTCCTGACAGCAGCAGGACTCCAGCCTGGGCAGTCCAACAGGCAGAGCTGGCTGCCAGCAGCCCTGTGTGGTCAGGAAAGTGTCAGGATCCATCAGGAGAAATCTCGAGCTCCTCTGAATCAGGAACCCAGAAAGAACTTGTTCTTTTTCCACATTCCTCTTCCTCCAACAAATATAAATAGCTCCAACCCAAAACAAAGTGTGATTTCACATAGATGGCATGAAGGATATGCGAGGAGTCAAACGATGCAGAGACGACTTCCCTGTGCCCTGGAAGGACTTTGGCAGCTTCACAGCCCTGCTGAGCCTCACCCTGTTCCTAAACACGAGGGCACAAGTGACTCAGGCCTGGCCCTAGAGGAAAAGCACCCACACGGCGTCACTGATAAGATTCCTGTCGAGGTAAGGAGGTTTATTTGACTCTGTGGGACTCTTGGGCACTTTCCTTCACCCAAATTGCAGGCACAGCCTGTGTGCTGACAGCTCAGTTATGGAAAATAGCACGTAGTTAATGCCTCCTGTTGCACAGCACTCATTAAACCTTCCCATGGCCAAGGAGCTCTATTTATTATCTCTGTTTCACAGAAAGGAGCTAGAGGAGGGAGCTGAGGTGTTCCCATAGCTTACCATTACCACCAGAAGTGAGAAAGCAGCTCTCAAACTTTAACAGTTCCCCAACATTTTCCTCAAGAGTTTAATTAAAAATAATAGACAAGGGCTCTGTGATCTTGGACAAGCTGACTTTGTTAACTCCTCTGTTGCATCCCTGTTTCAGGGGGGAGTTGGTGCTCAGACAGCCAAAACAGAAGGAGTGATTTCACCCAAATTGAGGGAATTTTATTTGGAGCAAACCTGACAGCAGCTTTAGAGATGGATGTAAAGGTTGTAGATGTAAAGGTTGATTTAAAATGCAGGCAGACATTTAATTGCATGGCAGCTGCAATTTTCCAAACAGCAAGCTGACAACTTTTAGTTCCTCTTCTGGAGAGTTTCCTTGGCAGGGAGAGGTTCCCAGGGCTGGCCCATGGGTGGGTTCTGCAGTGAAATCAGCCACACACAGATGATTCAGCACCCGTGTGTCAGTCTGATTTCTCAGAACCTCCCCCAGCTCGAGGCTCTCTGTGCTCCAGGCAGCAGCAGAGAATTTCTGCTCTCTCCTCACTCAGCCCCAGAGGAGAAGGGCAAACCCAACGCTGCAGGGTCACAGAGGTTTCACCTCACTGCGTGGCTGCCCCAGAACAATCCCAGTTCCAGAGCTGGGATATTCTCCAGCAGAGCAGGATGGGTACAGGACACTGTCCCCAAACTGCCACCACGGCACCCTGTGACTGTGCTCAGGGAAAGGTGCTGATCTGAGCTGTGCCAGGGAACAGGATGTTCCTTTTCTCAGTGCTCTCCCCAGAAACTGCTCTTGGGATAGGAGTTTGCTCAGAACTTCGGAATTAGGTTTGTCCTTCCGAAATTCCAGTTATTACTGATTTTCTCCCCAGACTGCTCTTTCAGTCTACTGCATCCATGGAGTAGAGCTGTGTAATGCTGGACACAAATATTTTTAAGTCAGCTTCATCATTTGTGCATTTCAATGCATAAAAGATTCTGGAGGGATGCAGAACTCTCTTTACAGCTGAGTCCTGAGATCTCAGGTACCATGTTTCATAGAATCCCAGAGCGGTTTGGCTTGGAAAAGATCTTGAAGCTCATCTCAGCCCATTCGGGTATTCAGAGCTCATCCTACCACTAGAAGGATGCAATTCTTGGGATAATTCCCTAACTGTGTCATTAAGGGCAGGAAAATCCTAGTTTAAAAGTACTAAAAAACACTCCAATAAGAATTTTTAAAAAGAAAAAGAGTTGTACTTTAAAACTATCCAGACTTTACCTTTTAAATAATTGAGATACTTTTTGTTTGGGAAAGTTTAGAAGTAAGGAGAAATTTTTCTTGCAGTCAAGGACTTGTTCTTTGTCAGCCTGTCACAATACCAACTTTTACAACCAAGAATTACAGGTATATCTTTTTTATCCAAAGAGATTTTATTTTCTAGGCAACAAAAGAGAACATCCAAGCTGTGATAGTGACACATCTCCCTCCAAGGGAACTGATTCTCTGTTAGCAGATTCCCAATGCAAAAATGATCTAGCAAAAATCAACACTCTGGATTAAATAAAAATCATTTTTCAAAAAAAGAAAAAAAAAAAAAGCAGGGAAAAAAAAAAAAAAAAAAAGGTATTACACACTTTGAGAAATCCATCCAGGACACAAAGCTAAAATCTAAGGGTTGCTCCCCAAAGTCAAGGCAGACAATAAATATGGATCTTCCACTTGTGTTTCCAAGACACCTCGTGCACCTCTCTGAGGTAGGTATTGTGTCCATGTGGCAGATGGCAAAGGGGAGGATCAGCTCCTTGTCCCAGGCACGTCCCTGCTTCCCTGGGACAGCTGAGAGCACACCTGGGGCTTGCCAGTCTCTTGGTCTCCTTCCTAGCCAGTATTTCAGCTCAAGTAGTTATAACACAGTGTAATCTTCAAGTTCCTTTGAACTGTCAGGTATTTCTGGAGGTTTTTAAGCATCAGCTTCTACAGGGTTGGGTTTAATGTTGGGTTTTGGGGGGTTTTTATCTTCTTTTCCTAATGACAGGCTAAAAGCAGAGTGGGGTTTAACACTGGAAGCTAAGTGGCTTTCTGTAGGGAACTCCCAACAGTGCTAATGTGTTTTTTAATACTGAATTAAAAACAAACCCAGTCCATAGTGCTCTGGGTGATCCTAGGCTGTTTAATTATTCATGCCTTAATTCAGCAAAGCACTTAAGTAATTACCTTCTTTCTTCAATAAAACCCTCCTGTATTTCAAGATCCAACTGGAGCCTCTGCTGAGAACTAGAAATATGATTTCTGCAGAAAAGGTGGTGTTGCTGCACCAGTTTGGTCAGTGCCCGAGGGAACAGAGCCCTTTCAAACTGGGTTTTAGGTTCCACGTGGAAAGTGGATTTATATTTCTGCCTCAGTCCAAGGACACCCCTTCTTGTTCCCCAGTCTAAAAGTGCAAAGAAGGTCACTCAAAACAGTAAAAGAAGAATGGCAGGCAAAGGATATTTTAAAATTTAAGAAATAAGGACGTGTTGCAGGCATTTCAAAGAAAAAAAAACCAACATAAATCCCCTTCAGTAATATGCACCTTTACAGCACCTTTTGAAAGCCCTCGCTGTTCAGCTTCACGACCCCACCGTGAGGTAAGATATTCCAATTAAACCAATTTCACCTTCCCTGATTCTGAACAGTCCAAGGAGTGGGGCACTTTTCCCAGCTTATTTTCATCTGAATATTCAGCTGCACCTTTCATTATCACAATGAAAGTCTTGCTACTCCGCAGTCAGCGGTGGCAAATCAAACACATTAAGGCAGAAAGCAGATGGAATTTCAAGCCTCCCTTCTGGCTCTGGCCTCCAGAGGGCAAAACTTTTTACCAGCAAAGAGTGAGAACTCAACCTTAAAGTGCTCATTCACAGTATTTGGAAACTGGAACAGCTTAGTAACACCATGGCCGTGATTGGCTCTGCTCAAGTAAAATACTCAATGTATTTAACAGATGCAAATTAAGTCACTTCCCTAACTACTCACTTCCCTCTTGCAGGAATTTCCAATGCAATTATGAAGAATCCCAAGTATTCCAGGAAACATGCTTATGCTCTGATGCAGTGTAAACACCGGGGGATTAAGAGTTATTTTTCAAGCAACTAAAAACTACCTACGGAGGATTAGTAAGTTTTATTCAACACTTATTCATCTACTCATTAATTTAAAGGCTACCTTAAAGCTTAGAGGCCATTGCTTTCCCTAAAGTTCTCTGCACACAAACTACACAGTCTATTCCTGACGGTACAGGGCAGCTCAGAGATCCTCTTTCCACTACAACTTATATTTTGTTATTGTACTTGATATTTCCATTACAAATCACGCACCACATGAGCATTCTCCCCTCTGAGAGCTGCTCAGCCTAATTCTCAGCGTGAGTGCAAAGCCTAATTCTCAGTGTAAGTGATGCTGACATGAGTGTTTCCCAAAGCCTCAGATTAATTGAATTACCCTGAAAATGTACATTCAGCACCTCAGAGGTGGATTTTACACCAGTGTTGGACAAGCCTGCGTCTGTGTGCTCAGATCACACACACACACAGAGAAGGTGATGAAATCAAGGTGTGGCTGCCACTGTCCACCACCTGCCCAAGTGCCATCCCTATTCCCAATCCCCTATTCCCAAACCTGCGCCTCGGCCACCGTGAAGTTAATTCGCTTTTCAAGCTCTGTGAACGGAATTTTATGATTACAAACAGCTTATCTGGGGACTCCAGAATTGGATTCCGGAGCGCTGAGGTAGTCGATGGCACCCTCCTCCCGCCGAGCTCACACCTCCCCGAAGTTGGTGTGTCCAGTCTCCCTGGCGTGCTCCCTGGCCTCCAGCTGCCCCGTCAGTCCCTTCTGGCACACCATGCAGCGCAGGGCGAAGCGATTCACGTCCGTGAACTGCCTCTTCCTGCGCGCCTCATCCGCCAGCTCCAGCGCCTGCGCCAGCACCACGTCGTCGCTGCTGGGGAAGATGGTCTGGGGAGGAAGGTCCGAGCCGGGCAGGCGCCGCTCCAGCGGGTCGTAGTGGATGCCGTCGTAGATCAGCAGCACGCGCTTGCTGTAGCCGGCGTCCTCGCCGAAGCGGTCGATGCGCACGGTCTGCGTGTCCACCACGCAGATCTCGCACTGGTAGAACTTGGAGAGGATGGACACCTCGATGGCTCCTCCCCAGGTCTCCTCCCTGCGGATCCAGTCACAGTATTCCCTGTTGGTTTTACCCAGCACGGCCTCGCTGTAGGACTCGGGGTCGCTGGCCACGATCTGGGCGATGAGGTTGCGCATCTCCGGGGCGCAGCCGGGGTCGTACACGCCGCCCTCCACCACGTAGGACACGCTGGTGAACAGGCAGGAATTGTCTGCTGGCACCACCCTCCTGGCCAGCACAGGCACGGCTTCCCTGACAGGCTGGGACATTGCTTTTTTGGCCACCACCGGCGAGTCAGGCTCGGGTTTGGATGTGTCCTCTTCCACTATGAGAGTGTCACCTGCCAGAAAGAAGCGGGGATGGGTGAGAGAGGCGCAAAGGGGAGACTTAAAGCGGCTGCTGCTCCTCAAACACAACAACACGGCCGTACTGTCCCTGCTGAGGATCCCGGAGGAGAACCATGGACTGGTCTGGGGTCCCAAACACCACCCATCCCCACCCCTGCCATGGCAGGGACACCTTCCACCAGCCCGGGCTGCTCCGAGCCCCGTCCGACCTGGCCTCGCACACCTGGGCCCGTTTCCCCCGGCTCGGCGTCCCGCCGGGAACAGCCTCGGCCAACAGCCGGTGGCAGCACAACGGTCCCCGCGGGACTCACCTGGCGCGGCCGGGCCCCGTCCCCTCCAGCCCCGCGCTGCTCCCCGCGGAGCCCCGGCAGCGGCCAAAGCACCGGCGGCGAGCAGGAAGCGCCGCCACCTCCCCCGGCAGCAGGAACCGGCCCGACCGCCGGCTGACGCGGGGCGTGCGTGCCACGGCCTCTTTAATTAACGCAATTACAGCCGGCGGGGCGGCAGAGCCCGCAAAGCGCCGCCCCCCGCGGCCCTCACCCGAGTGGATGCCGAGCTCGCCCAGCCGCCGCTCGCCGTCGCTGAGGTCGAGGCTGCGCGGCGGGAAGCCGTGCAGGAGGCGCTGCGCGGGCGCGGGCACCCCGGTGAGCGCGGCCAGCGCGGCCTGCATGTCGCGGAGGCGGGAGTGCGGCCACAGCCCCGGCAGCGCGTGCGAGCCGCTCCGGGCCTTGCAGCGCAGCCGCAGCATCCTTGGGGCCGCCGCCGCCGGCCCGGCCCGCCCCGCTCTCGCGAGAGCACGCCGCGCCCCGCCCCCGGCGCGCGTTTGCATAGAGCCGGGCCGCGCGCCCGCCCTCCGATTTGCATAGAGGAGGTGGCACCGCCCACTCAGTCCGCATGCAGCCGGACGCCGCCTGCCAGCTCATTTGCATAACGCCAGGCGTTGCCGTGAGTCGCGGTCCCCCGCCCTTCCCCGATGATTACCGCCCATGTGATTTGCATAGCCCGCCTAAATTTGCATAGAGGCGCGAGCTCCGCTCCCCTTTCATCGCCGCCCATCTCATTTGCGTGGCGCGCGCGCTCCCGTTCCCCTCTCGCCCCGCCCACCGAAATTTCGGTCTCATTTACATACAGCGCGCGGCTCTCCCTCCAGGCCTCATTTGCATGCAGCAGCGGCTGCCCCGCCCTCCAGGCCTAATTTGCATACAGCAAGCAGCTGCCCCGCCCACACGATCTCATTTGCGTACAGCGCGCGCCCCCGCGCGCGTGACGCGGGCCCGTTTTCCCGCCCCGCCGCGCCCCTTTTCCCGCGTGTGCGGTCCCCGGGACCCGGTTTCCGTCGCCGCTCCGCCGTGTGCGAGCTCCGCCGCTGATTTGCATGCGATTTGCATACGGCGGGGCGCGGAGCCATGTCGGCGGCGCCGCGGGGCTGCGCCGGGGCCCCGCGGGGCCGGGCCGGCGAGAAGCAGTGCTGTGAGTAGCCCCGGCCCGGCGGTGCGGGGCAGGGTGCGCGCTCCGAGCCCTACGGAACCGCGATCCGCGGCGGGAGGGGGGAAGGCTGCGCGCGTCTGCCCCGAGCCTCGCGTCCCTCCCGCGGGTCCCCGTCCTGCCCCTGCCCCGCTCTCCCCTCCCGCCGGTCCCCCGCGCCCATCCCCATCCCGTGCTTTTCGCCCCAAATCCGCCTCTCCGCGGGCCTTTTCGGAGCTTGCTCGGGCTGCTTTGCTGAGAGAACGTGACCGTTTTGTTAAAAACATCTTTCGTTCGCCCTTGACGGCGCCTGCCCGGGCGGCAAATGCTTTTAACACTAAAAGCCCCATTAGGCAGCGGTGCTGCCGGTGCGCCTCATTAGCAAACACCTTGGAGACCCAGAGTGATCACAGCAGCTCATTAACGACAAGGACACACCGCGAGCCCGTCCTGGGATGCGCGGAGGTGCTTTATCCACCGGGACACGGGGTGACGCTGCGCTGGGTCTCACTTTATGCTCTGCAGCGCCCCTGATGCTGTTTTGGGGTGGTTTGGGGGCTTTTTTTATTTTCTTTTTTTTTTTTTGCAGCATGGGCTTCCTACATGACCAACTCCCCTACGCTGATCGTGATGATCGGGCTGCCCGCGAGGGGCAAGACCTACATGTCCAAAAAGCTCACCCGCTACCTCAACTGGATCGGGGTGCCCACCAAAGGTGGGTGTGCGTGTTTGGGGACATCCCTGCCCGGGCTGTGACGCCTGCCAGCGGAATGCCCTCACCCTCTCCTCTCCTGTGTGAAGTGTTTAATTTAGGGGTGTATCGGCGCGAGGCGGTGAAGTCCTACAAGTCCTACGACTTCTTCAGGCACGACAACAAAGAGGCCATGGAAATCCGCAAGTGAGTCCCTGTCAGGGGCTGGGTGGCTCCGGGGAGGGCTGGGGATGCTGGAGTCTTGGCAGGCTGTGTGCACGAGGAGCAGAAAATAACCACGAGCGCCTGGGGAAGGAAGAAGGAACAGCACAGCCTGTGCAGGGATCCTGCCAAGGATGGGATGGGTGTGGGAGTTTGGGGCTGCCACAAAGCTCAGGGTCAGGCCACACAGTGGAGGTGCCCCAAGATCTCTGGGGCTCTTAGAACGGTGCAGGGGTGCGAGGGAGGTGTTTGAATCCCTCCCTGCTGGCTCAGAAGCTTTGCTGTGGGAATGCTTTCCATCAGCTGTGACCATCCCTATTTCTGTCCTGCAGACGCTGTGCCCTGGTGGCTCTGGAAGATGTGAAGTCTTATCTCTTGGAGGAGTGTGGGCAAATAGCTGTAAGATCCTCTGCACTAAAAATAATTTTACACCAGGGCAGTTCAAAGCTGCCTGGAGTGTTTGGGGACCTGATTTGGAGCTGGAGTTTAAAAGTCTTAAGATGAACTTGCTCAGTACTCCTTCCTCATTTTTTGCCAGGTGTTTGATGCAACCAACACGACTCGGGAGCGCCGAGACCTGATCTTAAATTTTGCTAAGGAAAATGCTTTCAAGGTAATGCTTTAATTGTGTGTGTGATTAATTGTGCGTGTGATTTGCAGTTGCTGTGCTGAGGGATGCTGTGGCTCCCTGGCACAGCAGCTCTGCAGTTTTGACTCTGAAATGTGCTTCCTTGCCTCCTGCCCAGGTGTTTTTTGTGGAGTCTGTCTGTGATGATCCGGAGGTCATCGCTGCCAATATCCTGGTGCGTGCTGCCCTTCCCAGGCTCGGCTGCTGTTCAGGCTCCCAGTGCAAGGTCACGGGCTCGGGGAGCTCGTGGGGATCTCTGTGAAATCCTCCCTCTCTCCTTTCACCTGCGGGACAGGAGCTGGGATTTGCAGGTTTATTAAAAGCCAGAGATGCCGTTATGTGAGAATGTGGAAATCCAGAGGAGCCGGGAATGGGTGACCTTGGAGCGCTGTCCTGGCGAGGGAGGGAGGGCAGAGCTCTGAGCCAGCGGTGTCTGTCAGGGCCAACCCCTTCAGTGCCTTAAGAGTCGCCCTTTGTTTTCTCTCCAGGAGCAGGTTTTTCCTCAGGGCAGCGTCAAACAATGTGGATTTGTTTCAAAAGAGGGGAATTTTATTCATCGTGGCTTTTCTTCCCTCTTGAGTTTGCTTAACTCGGCTGTCTGTTGGGCAGGAGGTGAAAGTTTCCAGCCCTGACTACCCAGAGAGGCACCGGGAGAATGTGATGGACGATTTCCTGAAGAGGATCGAGTGCTACAAGGTCACTTACCAGCCTCTGGACCCGGATGCTAATGACAAGTGAGCAAATCCCTTGGCACATCCCTCTGTCCTTGGGCACAGGAGCTGCTTTGCTGTCAGGATGCTCCAACACCTCTGCTCTCCCCAGGTGTGACTGTGTGCAGGTGAATCACACGTCCCAAGTGAGATCTGAAGGGATTTTTCTGTGTGTGCTGCAGAACCACAGGATGGTTTAGGTTGGAAGGGATCTCAAAGAGCCATGGGCAGGGACACCTTCCACTATCCCAGGCTTCTCCAAACCCTGTCCAGCCTGGCTTTGGTCACTTCCAGGGATGCAGGAGCAGCCACTCTGTGCCAGGGCCTCCCCACCCTCCCAGGGAAGGATTTTTAAGGCCAGCAGTTCCGAGCCTGTCCTGCCTTTCCTAGAGGAGCAGTAGCTGGGTGACCCTTGCAGGTGCTTGTGCCTGGTTTTTCAAACCACCCATGTGGGTTGTTCTTCCTTTATGTCCACTCCAGAGATCTTTCCTTCATTAAAGTGATCAACGTGGGCCAGCGGTTCCTGGTTAACCGAGTGCAGGACTACATCCAGAGTAAAATTGTCTATTACCTGATGAACATCCACGTCCAGCCACGCACCATCTACCTCTGCCGGCACGGCGAGAGCGAGTACAACCTCCTGGGCAGGATTGGAGGGGACTCGGGGCTGTCGGCCCGGGGCAAGCAGGTAGGTGCCCAGCTGTGCTCTGGTGATTTATTAAAAAAATATGGATATTTGCTGGAACCCCCGGCCTGGTTCAGGGGCTCCGTGTGGTGGAAAAGTCTCTCCTCCAGCCCGTGCTTCCCAAGAAAGGCTCAGCAGTCTCTGTTGTTGGGTCTCAAGGCAGTTTATTGCAAGTTATCTAAAAGATTTTCTTCTGGAGCTGCTGTGGTTTGCTCACAGCTCAGGCAGAGGCACACACACACCCTGACATCCTCTCTGACCCCGACTGCTTCTTCTCTCCCCACCCAGGGCTGCTGCTGTCTTTTATATGTACATTACGTGTGACATGGTTACAGTTTTTCCCAATGCCTATTACCTATATTAAATGGTGATTTTCTATCTTTTATATGGTACATTACATGTTACATGTTTACAGTTTTTCCCCAATGCCTATTACCTATATTAAATGGTGCTTTTCTACTCTAAACCAATCTGTGAGTGCCAACATCACCAAGAACATGGAGGTAAGGAAGGAGAAAGAGGAGGAACAGGATCAGCCCAGATCCCAAATCCATCTTAAAACTTCTGACCCCCATGTACAAAACCAAAACCCCCCTGTACAGGTGTTAAAACCCCCTTGTACAATACTAAAAAATTTTCCCCTCTACTTTGTGACTACTGCTACTATAATATCTAAACTTTTGTGACTCCTTGTTCCACCTTCAAGGTTGGTAACTCATTCCATGGCTCAAACCCAAAATCACAGCTGTTTCCAGCTGTGCCAGGGTCTCAAATGCTTCTGACCTGGGCCCGGAACCTCCAAAAATGTCTGAGGGACATTTTGAGTTCCAACAGATATTGATCTAGTACCAATATCCAGATGTGAGGGACAAAAACTCTCTAACAGTTTAAAGTTAGAAAGTGTGTGTTTATTGTGTGTGGGATCGCTCCTAAATCCACACTGCAGCTTCCAGGTCATTACAGAGCCCTTTTATCCATACAAGTATTGAATACCCAAAATAAAAATGCATATTCATGATTTTGGTACGTCCCATTCCTCATTTCAAAAGCATGCGTGGTTTGTCCCTTGATATGGGTCGGTGTCCCTTTCATGGGGAGGGGTCCCAAAATGAGGAAGTCAATGAAGTCTTCCTCATTCTGACCTTTCTACCTTTTCAATGCAAATATGACAAATGAACTCTTGGTAGAACTCCCATTCCTTGTCTTCAATTGGTTTCAGAACAGAGCAGGCCCACAATTGTCTTATGTTCCTAAAAGCAATTTGTCAGTTTGTGTATTTTTCATTATAAACCCAGCTAACTCAACATTGTGCTGACAAGCAATCAATTATCAGTTAACTACTAACTCTTAACTTCATCTAAGCCTACTCATTTATTTTAATTAACTCTAGTAATGCTTATTTCTAACTAAAATCTTAGCTCCTCTAAAATCTCTAAATTCCTTAAAATTTACATTTCATTTTGCTGGTGCCTTGCAGTGGCTGCCTAGTGCAGATGTGCCTTAAGTTTTAGCTTTCGTGTTTCTCAGGTTCTGTGCTGACTTGGTGTGGGACTCTGAACTTTGCACTAAGTGTTGTAAATTCTCATCACAGAATCACCAGGTTGGAAGAAATCTTTAAGATCATTGAGTCTAACCCAGTCCCTATACCTCAACTCCACCCTGGCACCCAGAGCCACATCCAGGCTTTGTTAAACACACCCAGGGATGGTGACTGCACCACCTCCCCGGGCAGAACATTCCAGAACTTTATCACCTTTCTGTGAAAAACTGTTCCCTAATATCCAACCTAAATTTCCCTTGGTGCAGTTTAAGACTGTCCTCTGGTTCTGTCAGTTGCTGCCTGGCACATTCAATTCTGACCTTTTCTCAACACTTTTGTCAGCTATCCTTTTGTCTCTAAACCAGCATCTCCTTCATATTCTGTCCTAATCACTGCAGAATTGGCTGCATTGGCTTTCATTACATGTGCATCACCTTTTCAGTCTGTACAAATTATTGCAGCAAATTCCTCTTCCTTGGCCAGGCTGATCCCCCAGTGTTCCTTTCTGAAGCCTCACATAGTTTCACAATAAGACTCAACTGAAAAATACAGTCCAATAGAATCAGAAAATGCTCCAAAGTACAGCTGAAAAAGCAAAATAGAAATACTGGAAATAATAACACTAGAACATAACTATTACCTTATTGAAAATATATTTTGATATAAACTGTATCTAGTTTTCAAACAGACAAAAGAGTCCTTTTGCAGCTTGAGAATCAAGCACAACTGTTCCCCAAAAAGCATAAACAACAGTGAATTGAGGGGAGCAGACCAGGAGCATGGAACTTCATCACCTGAAGCTTTAATTGGACAATTAACCCCAATATGGAAATGGACCAAATCTTACAGAAGTGTAAAAACTCCAGAATCTATCTTGGATCCATCCTGGGTGTAGCCCTGGTGCTGCCCAAGGTGTATCCTTTAAAGGCCTCTCAATAAATACCTGCTTTATTCTTTTCGCTCTCTCTAATCTCTGTTCCAGATCAGCCTCTTGAAGCATCACAGAGGCTGGACAGGACTAAGAGAATAAGACAGGTATTTATTAAAGGCCTTCAAAGCTCCCAGAAGCTGCACCCAAGATGAATGATGGTCACGAGTTTCTCAGACTGAAATAAGTTTGGTCCATTTGCACATCAGGGGTTAATTCTCCAGTTCCAACTTCAGGTCATGAAGGTACCCCCAGTTCACTTTTGTTTACACTTTTCTCCTTGAGTTCCAAGCCCAGAGGATTGTTTTGCCTGACCAAAATGTGAGGACAGTAGTTAACACTTTATATGGACTTCAGAGTTAGGCACTAATGCAGGACAGGATTTAGAAATTATAAAGGTTGAAATCTGAAGGCATCAGGGCCCCACATCCCCCAGGGATGCTCTGAGCAGCTGCAGCTCCCCCTGCTCCCTCCATGCCTTAGGATTTTAGCTGTTCTATTTTTCATGTATTTATGAAATACATATCATGTATGTAATTCTGCAGTTCTTTAGTGTGTAACTCTAAACTCCACACCCAGTGTCAGCTGCTGCTTTCCCATTTTGACAAAATTCCTCTCCAGGCCTGGCAATCAAGGACACCTCACTGCCTCAGGCCCTGAGAGATGGAAACAAAAGTGAGTTGGGGGCAGCAAACTTCATTACCTGAAGCTGTAATTAGAACATTAACCCCCAAAATGCAAATGGCCCAAACTTATAAAAGTATGAAAGCTGTGGTCTGTCAGAATCTGAGGTATTGATGATTCTGAGATTGTAAAAGTCTCTGTCTCTCAGCCCCCTGCCAAAGCAGAAGCCAGAATTGGTCTGTGCTGGTTTCCAGGTTGTTTATTCTGTTTATCTCTCACATGTTCTGCTGCCCTGCCCAGCTCTGTCCTGCAGGGCAGCGTGTGGGGCTCTGCCCTCAGTGGGATGTGACAAACATTAAATACCAGAAACTCCCTGGGCTGGATTTACAAGAACGTGCCAATATCTGTCACCTACGTTGGACAGTGTGTCCCCAGCCTGAACCAACAGAAAAATGCCAACAGCACAGTGAGACATGGAGGGCATGAAGAAGGAGAAAAAGGACAAGGCATTCCCAATTTCCTCCAGCTTGTCCCCTTTGGACCCCTCATCTAGAATCCTAAAATTTTACTTTTGCACCTGTGCCACACTTAATTATTACTGATATCAAACACTCAGAGCTGGTAATTCATGCTGTAAGATTGAAAACTCTTTTCCATGGGCAGAGATCACAGCCAGTGTCTCTGGGGGCTCTGTCCAGGGGGTTCTGACCCCTGCCAAGGTCCCAGAAGCTCTGGATTCTGACAGTGGTCTATTTTTGGGTGTAGCCCATGGGGAACTTTGTCTGCCCTAAATGTACCTGAATATTTATATTCAATAAATATACCTGCTTTTTATTCCTTTAGTTCTGTCCTGAATTAATTATTAAAATTTTAATTATTTATAATTAAAATTATATATTTATAATTAAAATTTTTACAGTCTGTGTTTTTAGGGATCCCAAAAAGGCATTACCCTGCTCCTGACCTCCTGGAACTTTTCTCCCCAGTTTTCCCAGGCTCTGAAGAAGTTCATTGAGGAGCAGGAGATCGTGGACCTGAAGGTGTGGACGAGCCAGCTGAAGAGGACAATCCAGACAGCCGAGTCCCTGGGGGTGCTCTACGAGCAGTGGAAAATCCTCAATGAGATCGATGCTGTGAGTGAGAGGCTGCCTAAAAACCTCAGCTTTTCTAGGTGGGAAATAATCCTTAAAGCCAAATTCATCACCACGAACCCGGCCGTTTTCTCTTGGTGTATAGCTGTGTTTTTGTATCACGGACCTCAGCCTTCCAGGAGGAGGTTTGGGGTGCCTGGGGACAGGGCTGAGAGTGTTCAGAGCTGCCAGGTCTTGCTGGGGACGTTCCAGGTGGTGTGGAGGTGGAAAAGAACACTGAGCATCCCAGACATCTGTCACACCCTCCTGGCTGGGCAAAGGTTGCTGCTCCCACTCTGATTCTCTCAGGAAATTGCAGGGTGGTTGCTGGGGAAGTTGCTGAGGGCTCATTTTGCATCCCTGGCCAACACCAGGGATGTCATCCTTTCTAGTTTTGAGATAAAACCAAAGCCCAGCCTCTTCAAACCACCCTGGAACCCGCACTGAGGGCAGGGCTGGGTCAGATGCAACACCTAAAATTTCCATGCCATAAAAGGAGCCCTGATCTCAGCCTCTGCTTTTCCTTCCCTCCCTGCTGCGTCCCTCTTGGCCCTCTGATGAAATGAGGTTTGTGGTTTGAGTTTTTCCTTCCCTCAGGGGGTCTGTGAAGAAATGACCTATGCAGAAATTGAAGCCAAGTATCCAGATGAGTTTGCCATGAGGGATCAGGAGAAATATCTTTATCGTTACCCTGGAGGGGAGGTGAGGACCTAAAGAAACAACAACTATACACAGTGCAGTGAAACAAACATTTCTGTGTGGGGTTGGGGTTAAAACTGACTCTGTTTGAAGTTATTCTGCCGATATTTGTATGCAAAATTGCAGATTTGCATCCTAATGAAAACATCAGGATCTCCAGTTCTCTTCTGGGGGAAATATTTCTTGATTTCCCTCATGGGGTGTGCAGATGATGATTTTCAATCCATTAATTTGGCCACGTGCTGGATGCTGCCCTCAGACACTGAGGGGGCTATGCATCGCAGGCCTGAATTGTCCCTGAGAACCATCTGGGAAACAAAATTATCGTGGGTGTGGCCTGGAGTCATTTCTGACTTAACTTCACAAACTGTTCAAATGAATCATTTACTATTTTATTGGGTTTTTTTCCTGCACTCACTGAGTTACCAGTAATCTGAGCCCTCCCACGGTCTGAGGGTTCTGACACTGAAATTCACTTTCTGCTGTTGCCTTTTTTGGGTCTTTTTTTACTATTTTTACCACCTCACCCATACCCTCCTTTAACTTTATGCTGCTTTAACTGATACTTCCCTGAATGTGACGCTGTTAATTGCCACCTGTGTTTAACCCTGTGTTTACACAACCCCTTGACCAATTCCTGTTTGGTTTTCCAGTCCTACCAGGACTTGGTGCAGCGCCTGGAGCCAGTAATTATGGAGCTGGAAAGGCAAGGCAATGTCCTGGTAATCTCCCACCAGGCAGTTATGAGGTGCCTCCTGGCTTATTTTCTTGACAAGAGTGCAGGTACAAAAATAAAGGGATGATGCTCCTCTCCCTGCTTCCCCTCATGGGGTTTTTGGGAGGGTGCTTTGGAATGACTGGGTGGATTTTTATTTTTTTTTTTTTTTAACAAGGTGAGGTTTTTTAACAAGATGTTTAAAAAAGGAGGAAAGGAAATGTTTCAGCAGTGCTTTAACCCTTGCACTGCAGCAGTGCAAGGATCTCCCTGGGGATGTGCTGCTCTTTTGCTGCCCCATGTTGTTTCTGGAGCTGTTTTCAGCAGCAGAATGTGTAGGGGACTGGTTTTTAATGTACAGGAAAAAAAAAATTCATCATTTTCTGATGCATTAAAGAGCCTCAGTGGCCTGGAAGGGTTGGCAGAAGTGCTCCATCCCAGGGAAATGCTGATTTCTTGCACAGCACACATACCTGGAAGGCTCCAGTCTGCTGCAAGCTCCAGGGAGTGGCACTAGAGCTTCATAAAACTTTTAATGATGTTTTATAAACTTCTAACCGACTTGATAAACTTTTAAACACAGCTCTGAATGAATCTCCTGTGGGCCCATGGCAGCTGTTGCTTGTTGTTACAGGATATGTGAAAGCACAACCTGAGCTGTTGCCATTGTAAGGTGAAAAAGAGGAAGTTTCTTTTTTGATTTTAGCATTTATATTTTTCTAAAGGTGACATGGATTGGAGAGTGAATGTGCCACCTCTCCAGTGACATTGGACAAATTATTAGTATAATAAGCTTTTTTGCTTCTATGGAGGAATGCAAAACAATAGATTGTTTATAGGAAGTTGTGTGAGAAAGTTCTCTACAAGAATGTAAACTCAGAAGGCTTTAGAAAATTTTAAGAATCAGGGCAACAGTTGCTGAGGTGCTTTCCCAGCCCTGTGCCCCTGGAGAGGTTTCCTCTGGCTGGCCCTGTGCACTGGACATGGAATGATGGAATTTTTTGGACAGGAAAAGCCCTTTTAGAGGGTGGAGTCCAACCCCTCACCCAGCACTGCCCGTGCTGGGAGCCCTGGGCCAGCCTGGGCCCCACTCTCATTCCCAGCTGCTGTATTTTGATTTTCTGTGTCTCACTGCTGTCATCACTGAATACCTGGGTGCCATCCACGGGCTCTGATTCCCAGGGGAATTTCCATTCAACCCTAGAGTGGTTTGAGTTGAAAGGACCCTTAAAAGGGTTTAGTCCAAGCCCTCTGGGATGGGCAGGGACATCCCTGCTGCTGTGGGGCTGGGGGGGACAGGGGGGCTGTGGCATGCCAGGTGACCCCATAACCCCTTCCTCTGCCCTAGATGAGCTGCCCTACCTGCGCTGCCCCCTCCACACCATTCTCAAGCTCACACCTGTTGCCTATGGTAAATAACTGCTTTGTTTTCATTTGTAATTTTAATTCCTGCCCTGGGTTGTGTGTGGGGATGCTATGGGCAGGTTTGTGTCCGTGTGTGGCAGCACTTGGCCATGCTCTAGAAGCTTCTGGTAATACATAAAGAGGTTATTTCCTGGTTAACATGCAAAAAGTTAACATGGAAAAGGCTTTGGAGGGGTGGGGGTGTTGGGGGAGCAGATGTGGAGGTGCAGGGTCTTCTCCCCTGGCCTCTCTTTTAAACAACTGGATTTTCCCTGTGGATTTTCCCTTCCCTGAGGAAGGCTGTGCCTCCAAACTTGGGGTGCAGTCAGTTAAAATTGGCTTTTCTCTGCAGCCCAAATAACTCAGGGCTGTGCTCTCACACTTAAAAAACCACCAAGTGTAAAGTTCTGTTTGTGGGGTGATTTAGGAGCTCTGTTATTTTTATAAATAAGAGATTTATTCCTGTTCATTTTCCCTGCTGTTTTTTGAATAAATTACTCATATAAACTCTCTCTCGTGGGTGAAGGCTGCAAGGTGGAGACAATTACCCTGGATGTGGAAGCAGTGAACACTCACCGGGACAAGCCCTCCCTGAACTCAGTAAGTTTTGCTGCACCCCTCTTCTCCACCTTTTCCAAAATAAGTCACAAACCCTCTTAAACACTTGCCAGAACAGCCTGATGGCTTTTAGTGAGCAGAAGGATTCTCTTCAGAAATAACCTCCAAAAGCAGAATTAATTTTAAGGTGCATTAGTTCTTCCCAGGCCAGGGGGGATGTTTTTCAGAGCTGTTGCAGGGAGCCGAATGAGCAAATTTAGGGCATAGATTTTAAACTCCAGGTCTTGTTCTCAGCTTTCAGTGCAGTGTTTGTTGCTGATGCTTATTGGTGATTTCAGAAACACTTGGCAAAAGGGTTAAAGTGGGTTTTTCTTCTTGTCTTGATGAGTTTTCTCTTTCTGAAATCCTCTCTCTGCCATTGTTTAATTACTGTTGACCATCCTCCTTGCAAGCACCTCCTAAATCTGGGGGAGCTGCTGATCTCTGAGGGCCTTGATTTTACAAACCCTGTTTTCCTGTCAGGGAAAGCCTCAGTGATTGCCTCTAATTAATTACCCCATTAGAGAGCACAAACCAGCTCTAGTCTGAATGCATCTGATTTTAGGTTTTGTACATTGAGGCTTTTTGTTGTATTTCATGAAGATCCCTTGGGCTGGGATCTGATGATTCTTTTGTGTCGAGGGACTGGGGGAACTGGGAGCCTGCAGCAGTGGCTGGAGGCTTTGTGGAGCTGTCAAATGCCAAACTGAGGATATTGGGCACGTTCTGTGTGGATCCTCGTGGTTTCCAGCTTGTCCCTGCTCATGGCAGGGGGTTGCATTAGGTGATGTTTAAAGGTTCTTCCAACCCAAACCACTCTGGGATTTCTCACTTCTCCAACTTCTCAGTGATCCCTGCATGGAAATCATTGCTGCCCACTTGGAGGCTGCCTCTGTTCTTTGCTTTGCTTGGGTAACACAGCTGCTGTGGGGCAGAAGAAAGCAAGAAGGGAGAGTTTTCTATTTGCTTATTTCTTTTTCCCCCCAAATTGATCGTCCAGAGAGGAAAAAAAACATTAAAAAACCCAAACAGAGCCATCTAAGCAAAACAAAAGACCCAAAGGGAAGTAAAACTGCTGAAAAATCCACTTGTCTCCAAGATGGATTAAGTTGTTTCCCAAGCTGGCGCAGAGCTGGGGAAGGCACAGCCCAACGTGGGGTCGCTGGGACGCTCAGGGTGGGGTTGCTGGAGGTGTGTGACGTGCCTTTAAACTGCTTTCATTCCTGATAATTCCCTCTGTGTGGGATCAGCACGAGCTGCCCAGCAGGCAGAGCCCTGTGAGGATGAGGAGGAACAGCTTTACCCCGCGGGCCAGCGCCGACACCGTAAAGCGCCCGCGGCACCACAGCCTGGGCAGCAAACCCCTCCATCTGCTGGGGCCTCTCCCATCCCTGGAAGCTCGAGGGCCTTTCCCATCCCTGGAAGCTCGAGAAGGGGCTGAGCAGCCACAGCTGGAAGTCACTGCCCAGGTGGTACCTTCCCTCTGCTCCCCCTCCCCAGCATCGCCCGTGGTCCTCTCCGAAATCCAGACCCTGCCCAGCATCCTGAGCAGGGTCTCTGTTTCTGCGTGGAAATCATCCAGCCTGGATGGGATTAAGGAAAAAAACAAAACAAAAAACAGTTGGAAAACCCCCTCAAAACCAACCCCAAAACGTAAAAATCCTCCCCATCCAACTGGAATTGTGGTGCCAGTGTTTCGGAGTCAGGCTCCACACGGGCAGGTTTCCATCAGAGCCATGGGGTTTTGGCAGAGGGATTAATTCTGGGTAGGATTTTGCTTCTGGGCTAAAATCAGATTGGAAAAGTTACAAATACCCTCTTTGTCCCAGTTTTTTAATGCAGCCAAATGCTGTCCCTGCCTTCTACCACCTCCTGCTGCAACACAAACCTGCCCTGGGCTAACAGGGAATTTTGGGGCTGCTTCACTCCTCCCTCATTTGCTTTGCTGCTTTTCCTATTTCAGTCTCCTTTAAGATGCACTATGAGCCCTGCTGTGCTTCTCTGTTTCCTTTGCAGCCTCCAGAGGGAAATGCTTGCCTCTGAGCACCACTGCAAGCAGCTTGGGTGTGCTCTCTTTGGGGTTAGTAAGTCAGATTTCTCTTGATTCGTGTTGCATGGAAACCACTCTGGGCAAAGACAAACCCACAGAGCAGAAGGAATCTTGTGCTGGATAAAACCTGAGATTCTGGGGGACCTCAGTGGGGCTGAGCCTGCTGATCCAGGGGCTCCAGCTGGGCTTGTGCTTGTGCTGGCTGCTGCAAATGGTGGTTTTAGCCCAGCTTGCTCCATCCCTGGATCATGGGATGGCTCATGGTGCTGAGCAGGGCAGAGTCCCAGGTTTCCCAGGACGTGTGGTGACGTTGCTGCTCTCAGAGATTTTGCAGGAGTCACTGGATCGTGGATTTATCTTCGATTTTCACTGTCTGTGTGTGTTCCTGGTGTCTGTTGGGCCCTGAGTGAGGCAGAGGAAGGAGTTTTATCAAAGCTCTAAGTATTCATTGTGGTCAGTTTGCAACATGTGATGCTTCTTGGGTGGTTCTGGCAGTGTGATTCCCCATGGAGAAGGGAAATAAAAGTGAGCAACCCTGAGTAACCAACCTGCCTCCTTACTCCTGAGCTTTTCCACCTCTCTGAACTTGTGTGGGCTCAGGCTGAGATGGGAAAACCCTTCAGGGGGGCTTGGCAGGAGGCTGCAGGGTGATGTAAGGAGTAAAACAGATCTTTGTGTGTCGGACAACAATACCCTTTTCTGACCCAGAGATGGGGCAGCTGAGAGGTGTTCTAAAAACTTTTATTCCACTTTCAGTCTCATGTGAAGGGTGAGACAATACAGATGTTATAATTCATGCCATCACATCACAAAATCCTAATTACAATACATTGTAAGTGCTTCTTGGCCTATCAGCTTTTTGCCACACTGTGCTGTAAATGCCTTAAAGCCAACCATCTAAAATTACCCCTCATGGGTCCACTACACACATTTCCCACATTTGTGTGCTGGGATGGAGGGGATGAAGCAAATCCTCAGGTGGTTCCTGCCGTGGGCAGCAGTTCCATGGAGCTGGATTCACCTCTCCATGAGCTGGGCTGCCTCCAGCTTTGCCCTCTGCTGCCTTCCTTGCTGTGACCTCTCCTGTTTCTCTTTTCCCTGCAGAGAATGGCCACTTTAGCAGTGTAGGGGCTCCTGCTTTCACCCTGCATCCAGCTGGGAATTCCAGGGCCAGGAGGAGCCGGGACTGGAGCATCCCTGGGGCACCGTGTGCCACCCTGGCCAGTACTCGCCTTGAACTGGATTTTAGAGCCTGTCTGTGTCTTTTCTTTCCAAATGCTGCAGCATTTGTCCACGGAGCTGGAGAAGATTTCTTCTGGAGATTTTTCCAAGCTGCTTTTAACGCTCGTAAGCCAGCGCATCCCCGGGTGTTGAAAGTGTTCCACGTCTTTCCTTCTGGCCAGGTGCCAAAATTAACCACAGTGGGAGGACAAAATAATCATGTTTCTACTCGCTGAGGAAGCTTTTCTCTTGAAGAGGCACTTCCAGGCCAAATCCCCACGGTTTTATTTCTCCATTTCCAAGTTGTTCCCAAGTTCAAACTCAGTTTTTTCTGCTGTTCAGCCATTCAGGGAGCTCCAGGCAGGGTTTGATTTTCCCTCCTTGAGTGCTGGTGGGAATCCCCCAGTCTGAGCCAGTTCCTTTGCCCTGGGAAGGCTTTGCTTGGATGTGACACTCAGGTCAGCACATCCATCCCACGGGCTGCCTCCTGTGAGGGACAGATGGGAACAAACCCTCCTGCCCCTCTCTGGAAGCAGCACAGCTCCCAGTGCTTTAAATCCCACCTCAAGCCCTATTTTAGCTTCTCCTCCCTACCTAAACTCCATCCTTTCACTCATTTTTCCTGCATTTTGGGGGTGTTTTATCCATTTACCCCAGGAAATGGGAACATGGCTGGGTCCAGCAGAGCTCCTGGGCAGGGTTTGCAGGAAGCACAAAGTTTTTACTAGTTTTCTTTATTTTACACCAAATTTTAGACCCACAACAAGCTTTTAACTTGCCTATGAATAAGCTGTGAATGTTCCCAATGCTGCCTTTCATAGTTTTAAGCTGTTGTAGAGTTTGGAGCACAGGTGGTGCAGCTCTGTGTGGCCGTGTTTTAACTTAAATCCTTTCCTTAAATCCCCACCAAACCCCAAATTTTCAGTTCTCTCCCACCAGTCTTGAATTGCATTTTGCCAAACTCCATTTTACCCCACTCCAGCTGTTCTTGCAATAAGGGCAGGACCCTCAGGTTGGGTGAAAAAAGGAACATTTGGGTACAGGGCAGGAGGCTGTTCTGGACCTGCCGTTCCTGGGTGACTCCAGGATTTATCTGAGCATTTCTGGCCCCAGAAGTTGCTTATTTTAAATGTATAAATAAATGTTGTATATACCCACAGCAGGGAAAATGTGCCCTGGCTGTGCAGGAGCTCAGCAACCCCAGAGCCTGAGGCTTAACCTGGGCATTTTGAGCTCAAACTTGGTTATTTTAAACACTCCCAGAGCTGTAATTTGATAAAACTGGGATAGAGAGGACCAAGGCACCAATCTGGACCCCTCAGGATTTCTGAGGAGCAGAAAAATGTGTTGATCTAAAGAGATTTTGCCACAGAGGGGTGAAGTTTGGTGGTGAGAAATTGAGTTTTTATTAGTTTTTCTCCTCAGGGTTCCCCCCCCAGCCATGTCTGGTTTTGGGTTTTAAGTGTTGTGCTTAGAAATAAACCAGAAAAAAATAAAAAAAAAGATGAAATATTGAAGGAAGAGATTTAGAGGCTGTCCATGGCAGTGCTTACTGTCACACTCCAAATGCTCTGAACGCACAAACCCGTCCTTGTCAGGCCAGCTCTGACCAAACCCCTCCTGCTCTGTGGAACAAGGAGTGGAAAATGTACTGTAGGATGTTTACGCACAAAAATGCTGGGAAAACTTGCTGAAGAGTTCATTATGTTCATGTCACTGAGCAGTAAATGATTGTAAGGAGACAGAAATCTATATTTTTACCTGCTGGGATTTGTGAATGGCGCTGTTGACGTGTTGGTGGTCGTGACTTTTTTTTTTAATCCCTGCTGAAAATCAGGTGTTTTGCAGTTTGGGTCAGTGGCTGGGAGTCCCTTTTTGGGGCTGTGGGATGGAATTTCATCCTTCTCTGCAGCGTTTGTGCCTCAGTGCTTTAATTCAAGCTTTTTCCTCCTGCATTTTAGCCTTGAAAAGGTTGAAAGCAAACACGTCTGGAGCAGAGCAGCAGCAGATTTGGGAGCAGATCGTTGCCCCCGAGGGTCCTGCTGAGCCCTCGGGGCTGCAGGGCTGGGGTGATGCCAGTGGGCATCTCCTGGCATCTCCCTGTGCCAGGGATTTCCTTGAAACCACCTGATTTCCTTGGCACTGGGCGTGCAAACACCCCAGAACAAACAAAGGTTGCACAACGGGGTTTTGAGATGTTTCTGGTGGAGCAGCTCAGCAGCAGCTCGTGCTGGCAGTGGGATCAGTGCCGTGGGCTGGGCAGGTGGAGGTGGGTTTGGAGGTGGGTTTGGAGGTGGGTTTGGAGGTGTGGATGTGAGCCTGGCACCTTCCTGAGCATTTCCTCAGGACTGGGGGGTTCTGTGACCCCCTGACTTTCTGTGCCTCTGTTTCAAGCAGCACGGGTGGTGCTGGCTGCTGTCACCTTCAGTGGCACCTGCCTGCCCCTCTGCCTGCCCCTGCCCAGTTTTTGGGCTAAAAGCTGCTTCATCTCTGGAAAAAACTGAAAAAATGGGGGGAAAAGAGTTAAACCCAGCCTGGCTGGCTGCTCTGTGTACACTGGCTGTGACTCAGAGCTGTCACCTCTGCTAGGTGTCCCCTTCCTGGCAGCTGGGCTGGGTGCCAGTTAAACCCAACCCAGCCTGGCCTGGCTGCCAAGGGGCCAAGGAGCAGCTGAGCAGGGAGAGGCACCAGCACCAGCCTGGCCAGAGCCACCAGCCCTGGGGTGTCCCCAGCCTCACCTCGTGCCCCTCTGAGGGGCTCTGGGTGAGCAGTGCCAGTGCCACCCCTGCTGTCCCCACACTGTCCCCCTGCTCTGTTGGCACTGCAGCTCTGTCCGGAGTGTTTGCTGAGAGGGATCTTGCCCAGCTGCTTGTAAACTTTCCTGCTCTGCTGCCTTCTAAGTGTTTTTTTTTTTAGGTTTATAATGCTGCAGTGTCAGCTCGTGCTGTGTGTTGTGTGCTCTGTGCGCTTGGGCATAAATATCTGTCAGTGTTTATTTACAATAAAGAGACTTTAAAAACCACAGATGATTCCCTCTGTTCTTTTCCATTGTTTGCTCTGACTCTCCCCTGTGTGCTGTTTTTCTGAGGAGCTCAGGGAGTCTCTGGGATGTGTTTAGAGGAATAGGGGCTGCAGGGGTGGGCATGTGTCCTGTGGTTTGGGAATCTGAGTTGAAAATGGGGGCTCTTAAACCCTACTGTTCCTCTTCTCAGTTTTAAGGGTGTTTTTACTGGAGGTCAGAATCTCAGGGTTTCTGTGGAATTGACCTTTAAGGTCCTTTCCAACCAAACCATTCTGGAATTCTCTGTGTGTGCAGCTCTGAGCGATGCTCCTGTGCTGCTTCCATGGAACTGGGTGGGGCTGGCTTGGAATAAACCCTTTTGGGAATGCTGGCCATGGCTTTCTGAGGTCAGAGGGGATGAACTCAGGGTGGCCTTGCCCTGGGGTGAAGCAGCTCTCCTGAGGACACCCCTCAGTGTGCCCGAGCTCCCAATGGAGCAGCTCAGCAAGGATTATTTCAAAGACTTGGCACCTCCACACATAAAAACCAAACAAATTTCAACATCTGCTTGGGTTGCATTCAGCTTTGTAGTGTTTTGCTCTGGGGGTGGAATAAACTTCCTCCTTGCTCGGGAGGAGTTAATGATTTATGGGTCAACGGGCCAGCTCTGGTTTCTGCAGAATTGAATTTTCTCTTCTTGGGGCCAGACCTGAGCATGTGGGTGCTATAAAACTCCTCCTTTGCCAGCTCTGGTTTCTGCAGAATTGAAGCTTCTCTTGTTGGGGCCAGACCTGAGCATGTGGGTGCTATAAAACTCCTCCTTTGCCTGGACTGCAGGAGAGCAGTCCCTGCTCCATCCTGCAAGTGCTGAACACGCCAGGACTCTCCATCTGCCACCTCCACAGCTCCAGGTAGGACAATTCCCAGCCTGGCAGCTGCAGGTGCTGCTCCTGGGAGCTGGGCTGGAGCTCCTGTGCAGCTCCAGCAGGCGCCCAGGTCAGGAAATTAAATCAGAGGAATCCAGGATGTGTGACAAGGGTGGAAAGAAGGGCAGAGGAGTGGCACAGGCGTGGGAGGTGTTGGGTTCAGGGCAGTGGGCAGGGTGGGGACCCTCATTTCCAGGAGGCAAGCAGGCACTGGGAGATTCTGGAGCTTTGGGAGGGTTCAGGCTCCTGAATGACCCTGGGTAGCACAGGGAGGGCTCTTCCAGCTCCCTAGGGGTGCCAGGTGAGTGTAAATTGCATTTAAATTCCATTTTGTAAAGCAGTTTGGTTTGATTGACCTGTGAGCTGTACAGCTTGGAATATTCCCTTTACTCAGGGAGTATTTGCACAGACTGATGGAACTTTTTGCTTAGATACTTCTCTCTCTGCCTGAGGGTGATTAATTGTTGGTGAGCTCTTCTGGTGACCCCAGCAGGATTTCTTCTGACTAGGAATTTGCTTCCAAGAGATTTATTTCTACAAATAAAGTGGTTTAATTGTAAATTTCCAGAACAGAAATTCAGCTCCTGCTCCTTCTGCTCCTCTCCTGTGACTGTAGGAACTGCTCAGGGGTGGAGAAATCAGACCTGTGAATATAGCTGAGTATAAATACCCCCAAATACCCCTTTGCTGTCATCACAGGTACTGGCCCAGGAAGGGAATGTGGTGACATCTGTGGGACCTCCAGGCAGGAATAAACATGTCAGCTTTGGAGCTGGGGAGGCCGAGGAGTTGTGCAGCTGTCCTTGGGTCACTCCTCACTGCTGCTCTCGTTGTGGCTGTCCACAGTAAGTGAACGAGTCCACCAGGATGAACTAAGAGCCCCTGGAGGAAAACCTTCTCCTGGGCTTTACAAGACTTGGATTCCTTCTGTTTTCCTCACTGCCTGTGCATTTCAAGGGCTCTGTAAATCTTTGTGATCAGAATCTGTCTTACTTTACCCTTTTTTTTTTTTTCCTGTCTGTAGGAAGCAGGTACAAAAGTATTTTAGCTGGAAAAGTGCAATAATTTATACTAAGTGGGGAGAAGAAATGCTTCATCTGGACTTTGTGTCCAGCCTTTGAATCTGCTGGGTGAGGGGTGAGGAGTGGGACTGGAGGGGCCAGAGCCCTGCCAGCCACGGGCTGCTGCTTTGAGGGGTCTTTGGGGCACTGAGGGGTCCTCCTTTGGGGTGAATCAGGCCTGAACCCCCCTGCCTTTGCTGGCAGCATGTTTCTGATGGGCTGTGAAAAACACGTTCACTCTGCTGTGAAAATATCAAAAGTTTAATAAAAGACAATGGGAGACGAGGATCACAGAGCAAAGGTTGTTAGGGTTGGCACTCAGCCAAGAGCACCCTGTTATCTTCGGGGACACCCCTTAAATACCTTTTAATTACATCAGCCTGCTGCATATTCATAGACCCTCATGCATAGTAAACTTTCCCCCAAACTACTTCACATGTCCCAAGGATTGTTTAGCCTGGCTCCTCCTTGGATCCACCTTTTCAGAGCGTGTGTATTTTTTGGTTGTGGTTTTAGTCCATTCTTATCCCCACCAGTTTTTGGGCTTTGGTCCACTCTGCCTTCAGACAGCGAGTGCTGATGGTTGGCAGATCTGTGCAGGTGTCCTCATCCTGTGTTCAGTGGATGTTATCCCATCCCAGCAGGCATTTTAACACAAACATACTGATACCAGCTACTTGTAGTGAATTATACCGTAGTATATCTGCTGCTATGCAGTGAAGTGTAAGAACTAAGCTTATACCTGAGACAGAGAAAAAATTTAACAGGGTAGAAATCCATTTGGATTTAGGTGAAACGTGCAGGTTTGAACTTGCTAACATAAGTAAAATATCCTGTTTAGTCTGGTAACTGCAGCACTGTAAAACTGCCCCAGCTGAGGAGAAAGAATGCAAATTTCCAAGCTAAAGAGATAAGAGATAAGAAAGACTCCTGGACCTTGAAACAGCGCAGAGTGACTCAGGAGTTCTTTCTGTGCTTTCTGACAAAAACTGAGTACAAGTGTAACTTGCTGTAAGTGTAATGTGAAATCAGCAGAATGAATATACATGAACCTATTGTGAAATGCCATAAATATGTAAATTAGTAAGAATAATAAAAAAGGATCTGGAGTTCTCAGGGGCATACATGTCTCTTGAAGGGAAAGACCCCTCACATGCGTCCAGCACTACAATAAACATACCAGCCCTACAAATCTTCATAGGAATTGTGGGGTTTTGATTTTTTCCTCTACGTTTCATGCCTCAGCTTAATTAACAACTGTCGCTGTCGAGGCAGGACAGGAATGAAGAGACTCTGATCAGAAGGCACCTGGGAGTAAAACTCTGGTTTATTCAAAATACACCACTCTTTTATACAGAGCTTTGTGAGGACTAAATCTATTGGTTCTGAAAACAATTTACAGCATTGGTGTACAGTGCTTAACGCACTGTGATAGAACTTAACTATAAACAATGTGAACAACAAGAGAGATAAAGAATTATTTACATTCGCCTCCAACTCTTTCCCAGGCTTCTGCCTGGCTAGAAACTCTCAGTTTCTTTCTTTGACTGAATCTGAGACCCACAAACAACAGAAACAAAAACTCTATGACAGAGTTACTCTGCCATCACACATATAAAACCCATTTTGGCATTGTGAGGAGCCAGTGCCAGGCTGTGTGGCTGTGACACGGGCTCGGTGTCCGCAGGTCAGTGCGCGGCTCCGCCGCGGTCGCCGTCGGCAGAGCCCAAGGAGCGGCTGGAGGGCCACCAGCTCTTCCCCTCTGGCTACAGGATGGCGTTCGTGTGCCGGCCGGGCTTTGGGAGAAACCCTCGCACCTCCAATGTCCTCGTCTGTGGAGTGAACGGGGTGTGGCATGGATCCAGTGAAATCTGCATACGTGAGTGTGTTTTGGGTGTCCCTGCCCTTGGTCTCTAGGGTTCCTCCCAACCCAAGGCGTTCTGTGGCTTTTTGGTTTTGGTTGCTGGTGCAGTCAGCTCTTTCTGTTGGAGCAGAGTCCAAAGTGAGGCCTGGGGATGGTTGTTATATTGTGCTCATGGGCACTCTGTTCCCCCTTCCCCGGGACCCCGTGACTCTGATCAGAGAACCCTGGACCCTCCTTCCTGCCCCAACGGGGTTGGTGGAGAGCCAAGGAGCCCTCCCTGCCCAAAGTCTGTACAGACCCCTGACATTTCCTGTTCGTCCTCTTTTGCCCCGTTCTCCCCATGGACATCACAGAATAAAGAGAACTGAACCAACATATCTGGGGTAAGAGCCTCTTTTGGAAATCTTTGCCATCTCCTGATATTCCTCCCCTCACAGCCTAGGACCTTTGAGCTAGCCCAGGATATTCAGGGGGCTGTGTGAGGGGGGAACATCAACTGCAGACCCCAGAGGCAGCAGCTCACCGGGCAGGTCTGGCCAGCACCGTGAATCACCTTGGGTTGGAGGGGACATCTGGAGGTCTCTGCTCCATCCCCTGGCTCAGAGCTGGGGGACTCTTTGGCTCTCGTGCCAAGAAGCTGAGCTGGGAGCTGACTGGAGCCCTGTTGTCCCCAGCCAAGGCGTGCAGCTACCCCGGGGAGCCGGCCAATGGCAGACTGCTCTTGCCTGGAGCGTTCACTTTTGGTTCCAAAGTGAACTTCACCTGCAACACCGGGTAAGCCAGCAGCACCTGGGCCACAGGGCTTCTTCCTCTCCAGCCACTTTTCCAAAGTTTTTTTCCCCCTTTGCTGTCAGAGCCTCCTCCATGTAGGTAATTGCAGACCCTGACTGAAATACCTTCTAAGCTTTCCTTTGGGAGCTTTAAGACTGACTGTGAGTGTCTTAATCTGCTTTGAGGCAGTTCTTCCCAAGCTCAGGTTCACCCTCCTGGCTCTTTTCAAGCCATTCCCAATGTTTCAGCGCCCTTTTGAAGGAAAGATGTGAATACTGAGCTCAGAGCTGTAAGTAGTTGATAAAGTATATGCATTTCATGAGAAACGTCTCATTTTTTAAATTAAAAAGATGTTTTTATCAAAAGTCAGCATGTCCTTGAGAAAGTGACACTGATGACCAATTTCTGGTCTGCTGGAATTCTGATAAAGGAGCCCAAACCTTGCTGGTGGTGGTGTGGGTAACACATCAGGACTGAGTCTGTGGAGCAATTCCCTCTCCCCTGTCTCACACAGGTACAGACTGATTGGACGCTCTGAGATTGAATGTGTGCTCAGAAATGAGGTTCTTACATGGAGCAGTGATGTTCCCATCTGTCAGGGTAAGCAGAGTTCCTTAATTATCTATTTAATTATCTGGGATGTGGCTGGGGCTGGATAAAGAGCCTGTTGTGTTGCTCTGCTGAGGATTTTGGCATCTCAGTGCATGGTGGAGCCTAGAAAGACATTTTTAATCTGTGTTTCTCTTCTGCAGAAATATTCATTCACTCTCTGGGAGTGATGCAGCTGCATTTGAGCCTGGGATATTCTAAACCCTCTCAGTGCCAACCAGAACTCGGGGCTGGTGCAGCTCCTCAAGAGCTGCCTTTGATTTCTGACCCTTCTGCTACCTCCTGTTTCCACCTTTTTCTGGCCATATCTTTGCTTTAAAATGAATTAATTTTTTTTCTCTTCTCCTCATTCCCATGATGATCTTCCCCTCCTTCCACAGCAATTCCCTGTGCACCCCCTCCAGAAATAGCAAATGGGCAGCACAGTGGGATGGACAAGGAGCATTTTGAGTATGGAGACTCTGTCACCTATCAGTGCCACAGGTCCAGGAGGGGAGAGAAACCTTTCTCCCTGGTGGGAGAGGCTTCCATTTTCTGCACAAGCTTGGACAACTTGAATGGTGTGTGGAGCAGCCCAGCTCCAGAATGCAAAGGTGAGCTGCTCCCACATCCCAGCAGCAGCCCCTGCACTGCTGCCTGCTCCTGCTCTGCTGTTTCCTCCCTTGGAACCCCCTCTCCTCTTCATCCTGCTGGAATGGAATCACCTCTTGCAGATGGCACCCCCTGAGTGTGGCAGCTGTGACAGGAATTGGGGTGTCCCCTCACGGTCACGGTGTCAGCAGGGACGTGGGAGTGGGATTTTCCTGTGCTCACAGGGCAGGTGATCCCTCTCCCTTGCTGTGAAATCGAGCACCTGCAAAGAATTCCCAAACCTGCTCCCCTGGCTTCTCTTTATGCTTTGCCTTAAAACCCCTGCTGCAAGAGCTACAAAACCACCACGTCACCCTGCTGCTGTTCCAGGAGGCAAAAGGCGAGGGGGGCTTTTCCAAAACCCTCCCCTCCCCTCTGGAGCCTAACTGCTGCTCCCCTGTGTGCTTCCCCTGGCACAGTGGTGACCTGCAAGCAGCCAAGAGTGGAGAATGGGAATCTGCTGAGCGGGTACCGGCCCGAATACAGCTTTGGGGACACGGTGGTGTTCGACTGTGACTTCCGCCACAGCCTCAGCGGCAGCAGCGCCTCCAGCTGCAGGGACAGCGGCCACTGGGAGCCCCCCCTGCCCCTCTGCCAGCGCAGTGAGTGTGCAGGACAGCAGCCCCGGGACCCCCCATAGGGATCGTGTCTGCTCCTGGATGGTGTTGATGAATGGAGATGAGATCTCTGCAGGCTGCTCTTGGGGTACAAGGTTTATTGGGGATGGAGGAAGGTCCCCTGTGGGGATTGCTGTCTGCTCCAGGATGGTGTTGATGAATGGAGATGAGATCTCTGCAGGCTGCTCTTGGGGTACAAGGTTTATTAGGGATGGAGAAAGGTCCTGCCTCGAGCTGCCAGATGCAGCACGTGGTGAGGCTTGAGAGGGTGGGGAAGGGGAGAGACAAGAGGATGCTCCAGGAGAGGGGGAGTTCCAAGGGGAGGGGAAGTTCCAAGAGACCGTGTGGCCCCTCGGAGACCCCTTTTCAGGGGGCTTCAAGGTGGGCTGGAACAAGACTTGGGCCAATGGGGTTACAGGCACTTGATGTTTTAGGGGAGGGATACGGGTGTGGGGTGAGCCGTACATTTTGGGGGGTGGGATGGAACAGTCCACTTGACCCCTGGACCCATCCGTAGGCATGGGCATTGTCCGGCTAGCAGAGAGGACTGTTCTCATCCTGGCTGTATTATTTATGAATAATTATATTTATCTATCCTCTCCAACACCCCCCATGCTCGGGGAGTATCAGCTTGGTTGGAAATGACAGATTGTTGTAACGGTGAAAGTCACCGTGCAGTCCAAAATCATAGTCCTGGCATGGTTTGGGGTAGGAGAGACCTTAAAGCCCATCCCACCCACCTCCTGCCATGGCCAGGGACACCTTTCACTGGCCCAGGTTGCTCCAAGAGCTGTTCAGCTTCTCCTTGGACACTTCCAGGCTTGGGGCAGCTTCTCTGGGCATCACCCTCATAAGGAAGAATTTCTTCCCAATATGTGACCTAAACTCAATCTCTTTCACCTTAAAATCCTTCCCCCTTGTCCTGTCACCCCAGGCCCTTGTGAAAGTCTCTCTCCAGGGGAAAAAAAAAATATTTGTATACCTTCATTTGTCTCTTGTGCGTTCCCTCTTTACCCTTCCGAACCTGGATGATTCAACGCATCTCAGAATGAACACTGTGAGCCCGTGGTTTTCACCCAAATTCCCTCCATGCCAGTCCCTGTGATGCAGCACTGTCCCTAAAGTGCTGTCTCACCCCCAGGCAGCTGCGATGACCCCCCAGATGTGAGGAATGCCATGAAAACCAGGCTGGCTGGCAATCTGTTCCCTGTGGACACCGTGGTCACCTACGAGTGCCAGCAGGGCCACCAGTTCAGAGCGGGGGAAACCACCTGGAACATCAGCTGCCTGCAGGATTTTGTGTGGAGTGAAACCCCAACTCCGTGTGAAAGTGAGTGCCTGGGGCTCGCTTGTGACTGCCAGAGTGGGCTGGGGACAGCCTGGGGGACAGGGGTGTGAGAACCCCGGGCTTGCTCTGGGGTCCCATGTGGTGGTGAAATTTCTCCTCCAACCCGTGATTCCAAAGAAAAACTGCGCAGGCTCTTGCTGTTCTGTCTCAAGGCAGTTTATTCCAAGTTATCTAAAAGATTTTCTTCACTGGCTGCGGCTGCTTGGTCAGCGGCCTGGGCAGAGGCACACACACACCCTGACATCCTCTCTGGTGTCTTCTTCTTCTCTCCCCGCCCAGGGCTGCTGCTATCTTTTATAAGATATATTACGTATAACATGTTTACAATTATTCCCCAATACCTACTACCTATATTACCAAGTGATTTTCTACTCTAAACCAATCTGTGAGTGCCAACATCACCAAGAACATGGAGGTGAGGAAGAAGAAGGAGGAAGAACAGGGTCAGCCCACTTTCCTCCATCTTAGAACTTCTGACCCCCATGTACAAAGTAAAACCCCCCCTGTACAAGTGTTAAAACCCCCCTGTACAATATTAAAAAAATTTTCCCTCTGTTTTGTAACTACTTTTAGTATACTATCTAACCCTTTGTGACTGCTTGTTCCACCTCCAAAGTTGGTAACTCATTCCATGGCTCAAACCCAAAATCACAGCTGTTTCCAGCTGCCTGCCAGGGTCTCAAATGCTTCTGACCAAGGCCTGGAACCTCCAAAAATGTCTGAGAGACATTTTGAGTTCCGACACAGGGGGATGCTCCACGGCCCAACTTGGTCTTTGCTGACCCTGGAATTCCTTTGATTTATTCCCCAGCTGCAGAGTTTGCTTTGCTTTCTTTGCCAGCTCTGCTTTCCAACCCCTTGAACCTCTGGGAAACATCCATTGTGGTCTTGAGGGTGCACCACAAACATTCCACCCCCCAGGAAAGCTTCTGGGGCAGATTCCATGTCACGACGTGTCTGTGTCCTACAAAACATCCATCCTTGTCTTCACAACAAATTTCCTGTCACCCGCTTGGCTTTGCTGTGGTTTCACCCTCACTGATGTTTGGCATTTTCCAGGAATTCCTTGCCCAGATCCAGACTTCCCAAATGGGAAGCCCTTGCACCCATGGCAAGTGAAGGAGGTTTATGAGAGCGGGGACAGGCTGGAGGTGGAGTGCAGTGAAGGATTTGCTTTCAAAGGCCACGGCAGCAGCAGCATCACCCTCCGCTGTGGCAACGATGGTGGATGGGATCCAGCAGTGCCAGAGTGCATCCCAGGTGGGACAGAGTGGAGGCATGATCATGGCTTGGTGTTCTGATTTTTAAAAGTGTTGTTTTCTTTTATAGTGTTTTGGGTTTTGTTTGGGTTTTTTTGGGCTTTTTGGTTTTTTGTTGTTTTTTTGTTTTGTTTTGGGTTTTGTGTTTGTTTGTTTGTTTTTGGGTTTTTTTTGTTTTTTGTGGTTTTTTTTAAGTTCAAAAGAAAAAAAAAAAGAGTTTTATTCAAACATCTAGTATTTATAAAATTCCAAAAGTGACTGTGGATTGGAGGATGGAATTACCACTTCTCCAACCACACTGGTTCAAGGATCAATCAATCATTTCTCTCCACCCACAGAGAAATAGGTAAACTATTCTATTTATACATGAAATTGTGTAAGAACTCTTAACTCTCAAATATGTAAGCATTATTAGAAAGCTAAAGAAGTTTTATGACAACTTTAACACTTTCAAAAAAACTATAAAACACTTCTAAAAATCAAGGCAACAGTGGCAGAAGCCATGGAGAACTTTCCCCCACTCCAGGTGGCCCCAGATCTACTTCTCCTGGGTTAATGTGGCAGCAAAAGGTCCAGATGTTTTGGCAGGGCTGAGCTGGTGTCTGGAGGGGTGCAAGGGGGTGTTTGAAGCTTCTGGAGGCTGAGAGGTTCCTGAGGAACCCTGGGAGACATTTACCCAGCTGGAAGGGGATGTGGTTTGTGTTTGGGGCTGCTTTGCTGACATGAGGCAGGGGAGCAGAGGATGTTCCCAAGGCATTTCCCCTGTCAGGAGAAAACGAGTAAATAACTGACACTGCTCCAACTCCTGACCCACCACCACAGCAATATCCACAAAAACTCAGGAAAACCTTGCCAGGAGGGACAAAGCTGCTGCACCTCCCAGGGCAGGCAGCATTAGAGCATGGACAGTTCCCTGTGCTGACCCCCTCAGAGGCAGCCTGAGACCTGCACCTGGGTCATGGTCACTTTTCTGCCACGGTGCAGATTTGTTGGTAGCTCTTCTCCATGGAAAACATGACTGGAGTTCTTTTTGGAAACACACAACGTCCTTTATTTCCCATTATTTCTAGAACCACATTGCCCAAAGCCAAGCATCCTTCATGGAAAAGAGGTTTATAAAAGCAGGAGTGACTACACAGTGGGGAGCCGGGTGAGGCTGGCCTGTGAGGAAGGCTTTGCCCTCAGGGGCTTGGAGACCATCACCTGTGGGGCTGATCTGAGCTGGGAGCCCGTGATGCCCTTCTGTGACAAAGGTACGTGTGACACAGAGGGGACAAGACATCTCCTGCCACCACTGGGTGATCTGCCTGCATCTGCTCCTGAGCTGAGCCAGGTGTCCCCTCCCCAGAGCTGGAACTAGAATCATAAAGGTTGGGAAATACCTCCAGCATCACCAGGTCCAGGCTTTGACTGAATCCCACCGTGTTCCCCAGTGCCACATCCAGTGTCTCTTGGACACTTTCAGGAGTGGGGAGGCCACCACTGGAAATATCCTGGTATTTCTGGAGGCCTGAGCTGCTGTGAGAGGCCAGAATCCAGGCAGCAGCTTCTTGTGAATTTGCCTCACACCAGCCATGAAATGAGCTTTGTTCTGATTTCACAGAAGTGCTTTTGATTCTCACCTGAAGATGCTAACTGCACGTGTCTTTCTTTCTCAATTCCCTTTATTCCACAGTCTGTGGGCCCCCTCCCCAGATCCCCTTTGGGCAGCACTCTGGCAGAGGTGCCACAGGGTTCCCTTATGGCACCAAGGTGACCTACAGCTGTGCAGAGGGGCTGTCCCTCATCGGGGATGAGTCCCTGCACTGCACCTCCGAGGATGGGGAGAACATGACCTGGAGCGGGCCTGCCCCGGAGTGCAGGGGTGAGTGTTTGGGGTCAGACATGGGGTCAGACATGGGGTCAGACAATGGGGTCAGACAATGGGGTCAGACAATGGGGTCAGGCTGAGCCGGCCCTGGGGGCAGTGCCAGCACTCAGAACAGAGGGGTTAAAGCCAGCAGGGCTGCCTGCAGATGCTGCTTCCTCCACACGAGGGGGGATTTTGGGAACCCAGGGCTTCCCTGTGGCTGCCCTGGCTGCCCTGGGACCCTGGCAGGGGTCAGGAACCCCCCTGGACAGAGCCCCCAGAGACACTGTCTGTGATCTCTGCCCATGGAAAAGAGTTTTCAATCTTACAGGATGAATTACCAGCTCTGAGTGTTTGATATAAGTAATAATTAAGTGTGGCACGGGTGCAAAAGTAAAATTTTAGGATTCTAGATGAGAGGTCCAAAGGGGACAAGCTGGAGGAAATTGGGTGTGCCTTGTCCTTTTTCTCCTTCTTCATGCCCTCCATGTTTCACTGTGGTGTTGGCATTTTTCTGTTGGTTCAGGCTGGGGACACACTGTCCAACGTAGGTGACAGATATTGGCACGTTCTTGTAAATGCAGCCCAGGGAGTTTCTGGTATTTAATGTTTGTCACATCCCACTGAGGGCAGAGCCCCACACGCTGCCCTGCAGGACAGAGCTGGGCAGGGCAGCAGAACATGTGAGAGATCAACAGAATAAACAACCTGGAAACCAGCACAGACCCATTATGGCTTCTGCTTTGGCAGCGGGGCAGAAAGACAGACACTTTTACAATCTCAGAATCATTGACACCTCAGATTCTGACAGGGGATGATCCATCTGGGAGTGAGAGAATCCCAGAATAATGAGGTTGGAAGAGACCTCTAAGATCATCAAGTCCAACCTATGCCCTAACACCTCAACTAGACTACAGCACCAAGTGCCATGTCCAGTCTTTTTTTAAACACATCCAGAGATGGTGATTCCACCATGGGAGGACCCTGGTTCTCCTGGCTGGGGCTGTCAGGGGTGGGGAGGAGCAGCCCTGCCCGGGTTCTGCTGCCCCCAGACCCAGTGCCAGCTCTGCTCTGTCCCGCAGTGGTTCGGTGCCCCAGGCCCGTGGTGGAGAGGGGAAGGATGACCCCACAGACCTTCACCTTTCCCTACGGGCTGCTCCTGCACTTCTCCTGTGACCAAGGCTTCAGGCTGCATGGCGCTGCCCAGAGCCAGTGCCTGGCTGATGGCGCCTGGCACCCACCCCTGCCCACCTGCCAGCCAGGTGAGTGCCAGCCCTGCCCCGCACGGCCCGGGGGCTGCTCTGCTGAGCCCCAGGGGGAGTTTGCAGGGTGTTTTCTCCTGCATCTCCTCCCATTATGGGATGTTTTGTGTGTGTTTTCCCCTCAGTTCAGTGCCCCAGGCTCCCGAGGCAGGATGATGTTCTGGTTCACTTCAACCAGATGTGGTATGAGGTGAATGCCACGGTGCCCTTCTACTGCAAACGTGATGGGCGCTTTGGGGCACCTTCCAAAACCACCTGCTCAGCTGATGGCACCTGGTCACCACCCCCCACGTGTGTAAGTACCACCAGCTGCCCCGTTTTTTCTCTTTCTTTCCCCATTTATAGCCTGGAATAAAGGTCCAGCTTCACAAGGGTGGTGGCTTTGTCTCCCTACACTGAAGTCTCACTCTGCCTTTGTTTTGGTTCTTTTAAAGAGGAAGAGTGATGTGTGTGAGAGGGTTCTTCGAAACAAAGCAGCTTTCCAGTGTGGAATTCCTCTGTCAGATCTGAAAACCCAGCTGGAAGTCCAGAAGCTCTTCCTGGAGATCCAGAAACTTGAAAAGGAGCTAAAAATCACCACCTACAGCTGACTGGTGACACTGGGATTGCAGGAACCATCCTCTGTGTGTTGGATCATGACAGTGACTGAGGATTTTTATGACTCTGTAGTTTGTGCTAATGCTGAGGTAGCCAGGACAAAATTTAACCATCGACCACAGATTTGGTCGTGTGAGGAGTCAGTGACTTGTGAGCCAATGACTCGTGGGTCAGGTTTTAGAGCTCACCAGGTTCAGTTTGTACATCACTTTACACCTTTTAAAGCTTCACATTTAGATCTGTTTGCTACACTGGCAGTGCACAGTTAGGAAGGAACTGAGTGGAAAGTGAATTTTGGTGGTAGAAACAGGCATGAACTTGGTGACAGCTGCTGCACCTCTCCAGTCCATCCCAGTGCTGCCCAGTTCACCCACGCTGCACTCATTAGTGGGAACAACTCCTTCACTGCCTAATTACTTTTCTCATGACCAAGAAAACCTCCAAGCCTCTTTCCTAGCAAAGCAAAAATGCCAGGTATTCTTCCCAAGCAGGATGGAAGTGCCACACTCTGTGTGTGCCCCAAGGACAAATAATAGTGTACAGAAAGAAATGAATGGTTTGGAAACTTTTTTTCTGCAACATCCAGTGAAGGGGAAGCACTGTGAGGGCCACTTGTCTTGTGGTGGGACCAGAAATTAAAATAAACCTGAAATACTGACAGCTCTGTCTGGGTTTTAATAATTTGTCCTATCTCTGGTAAAGAGAAGTATTTTTGTAATACAAATGGTGTACAGATAATATAAAAAGTGTATATAATAAATAGGTTTATTTATAGTGTATGTAAACAAACAGCTCAGTTAGGTGCTGCTCCATGAGTGCAGGGATGTGGGGGGTGTTTTCCCCACCCCACCTGCCCTGGGTGTAAACCTGTTTCAGACACGAGGCCAGGCTGCTGCAGAGCAGTTTCAGCTGTAAAACACCTTCATTCCCTGTCGGAACTCAAAATGTCCCTCAGACATTTTTGGAGGTTCCAGGCCCCGGTCAGAAGCATTTGAGACCCTGGCACAGCTGGAAACAGCTGTGATTTTGGGTTTGAGCCATGGAATGATTTACCAACCTTGCAGGAAGAACAAGGAGTCACAAAAGTTTAGATATTAGAGTAGAAGTAGTCACAAAGTAGAGGGAAGAATTTTTGAGTGTTGTACAGGGGGGTTTTGGTTTTGTACATGGGGGTCAGAGGGTTTAAGATGGATTTGGGATTTGGGCCTGCCCTGTCCTCCCTCTTTCTTCTTCCTCACCTCCATGTTCTTGGTGATGTTGGCACTCACAGATTGGTTTAGAGCAGAAAATCACCATTTAATATAGGTAATAGGCATTGGGGAAAACTGTAACCATGTCACACGTAATGTACCATATAAAAGATAGAAAATCACCATTTAATATAGGTAATAGGCATTGGGGAAACTGTAACCATGTCACACGTAATGTACCATATAAAAGATAGAAAATCACCATTTAATATAGGTAATAGGCATTGGGAAAAACTGTAACCATGTAACACGTAATATACCATATAAAAGATAGAAAATCACCATTTAATATAGGTAATAGGCATTGGGGAAAACTGTAACCATGTCACACGTAATGTACCACATAAAAGACAGCAGCAGCCCTGGGTGGGAGAGAAGAAGCAGTCGGGGTCAGAGAGGATGTCAGGGTGTGTGTGTGCCTCTGCCTGAGCTGTGAGCAAACCACAGCAGCCCCAGAAGAAAATCTTTTAGATAACTTGCAATAAACTGCCTTGAGACCGAACAACAGAGGCTGCTGAGCCTTTCTTTGGGAGCTCGGGTTGGAGGAGAAGATTTTCCACCACACGGAGCCACCCCTGACCTAGGGTGGGCTTTGGCAATTCCCTCTGTGCCCAGAGCAGCCTCCCCTGCCTTGCACATCCCAGGGCTGGGGGTGGTGTCAGTGGCATGTTTGGCCTGTCCCCAACTTCCCACTGCTGCTTCCCCTTCCCTGCTGGGCTCTCGGGGCAGAGGATCTCGGATCTCTCCTTCCCAGGGCAGCTCCCATCCCACACCATGCCCGGGCTCCTCGGGCCAGGCCAGCTCCTGGCACTGATGGTTCTGGTCCTGCAGCCCACGGGGACTCAGGGTGAGTGTCCTCCCCTCCCTGCTCGGGCTCTTGGCTTCTGGGGCTCTGCTTTCCTCTCACAGGGGCTTGGGGAAGAGCTGATAGAGCCTTGCAGTGCCTGAAGGGGCTCCAGGAAGGCTGGAGAGGGGCTTTTCACCAGGAATGGCCTGACAGGGAAAGGGGAATGGGTTTAGGGTCAATAAAGGCAGGGTAAGATTGTGTGTGAGGAAGGAATTGTTCCCTGGGAGGGTGGGGAGGTGCTGGCACAGGGTGCCCAGAGCAGCTGTGGCTGCCCCTGGATCCCTGGAAGTGTCCAAAGCCAGGCTGGATTGGGTTTGGAGCAACCTAGGATCATGGAAGGTGTCCCAGCCCAGGATGGGGTTTAATGACCTTTCCATTCCAGCTTTTATGTCCCTTCCATTCCAGCTTTTATGTCCCTTCCATAATGTCCCTTCCCTGATTCTCTGGTTGATCCTGCAATGCCTCAGCCCTGGGCAGCCTCCAGAGCTGCCCAAGGCAGCTGGGGCATGGCCAGGCATCCCCCAGGCTGACCTCAGAACTGGAGAAGTGCAAATCTGCTGAGCTCTGAATGTCTCTGGGAAGGAGAATAAGCAGCAGTTTCTGTCTGGAAGTTGGGGGTTCGGTTAAACCCAAACCTTTCCAGAAACTTCTCCAGGGTGCACAGCCCTGCACCAGCACTGCCTGTGCACACTGCTTTTACTCTTAATATTTATTGCTTTTACTTCCTGATGCTTCTCAGCCCATTTCCCAAAGCCAAATATTGCTAATGAGGTGCCAATAATTAATGTGGAGGAGGCACAAACAAGATATTTTCCGTGGGAATGGCACCAAAGGCAGCATGGGTGGCACTGCCCTGGCACGGTGCAGGTGTGGGATGCTGCAGCACCTGGAAGTGTATCAGTATATTCTGACATGTTTTTAATTCTGTCTTGGTGACCTGGCAGCACTGCCAGGCATGAAGAAACCACAGTTAGAGCTGCTGGAGTTTTGTTTTCTCTGTTATTTGTGATAAGCCCCCAGATACTTCCCATGGGAGACACAGAAAGAGCCGTTTTTGTTGGGACATCAGTGATGTGACAGAGGTCATGCAGTTGTTGTAGAGGCTCTTTTTTTTGTCAGGCTGGAGGGGGCTGCTGCACCTGGAGTCACCCACGTGAGCTGAGTCACCTGTGCCCTGCAAGAGCTCCAAGGGAAGGTGTTTGACTGTGCAGGAAGGGAATCCTACACGTTTGGGGTCCTACTGATGGCTGCTCAGGATGTTTATCAACCCCCAAACCTCTGCCTCAGTCGCTGCAGCCATTACACAGCTTTGTCTCTGACAAACTTTCCCAGGAGTTGTTCTGGGGAACTTTGAGAAGGCTGAGAGGAAGAATTAAAACAATCTTGCAGCTGGAGTTTTGAACAGTTTTCTCAGAAGATGTTTACCAGAGAGTGTCTTGTTCCAGAATTTCTGAGAGAGAGGGGGCATGATTTATGTCTGGAGAATTGAGCTGCCCCTCAGACTAGGCCTGATGAGCGGCCTTGGTGGGGCCTAGGAGCCTTTGCTGCAGTGAGAATTCAGTTGTGGCGCAGTTAGAAATTATGTTAAGGTAATTACAAAGTAATGAGCTATACGAGTGTAAATTAGAGTAGAGCTGCAGTGTGAAAGGCCTGACCCCTTAAGGCAAAGGTAAATGATGTTGGCTTGCCAATCAGAGTGCCTTTGTAAACTGTAAACTATATAGAAGTGTATAAAAACTGCCATTCTCACTAATAAATGGGAAAATGTTGCATTACTCATATTGGTTGGATGTGCGTTCTGTCCTGTCCAGCTTTCCCGATTTATGAGGTCCCTGGCTTTAGTGACTTCTTAATTAGCCACTGGTGATGGTGCGTTGATTAAATGACCAATCAGGTCCACCTTTATCAGAGCAGTGTATAAAAAGGAATGTGTTTCTAATAAACTTGTTATTAGGCTGCTGAAGAGAGTTTTAGAGTTTGTGTCGCCTTCACTTCTGCTCCTGTCTCAGCGGTGACGTCTCCTCTCACCCCCAGACAGAGCTGCCGTGCCCCTTGGTTACAGCGGTGGCATTGTGCAAGAACACCCCTGAAAATCCCCTTTTTTTATTGTTGTTTTTTGGTGATCCACAGAGGCTCAGTGTCCCATCCCTTCCATTGCAAACGGGCAGCTGAGCTCTGCAGAGAACTTCACCCACGGCAGCACCGCCACACTGCAGTGCGACCCCGGCTTCGTGCCCACCGCCAGCACGGCGCGCTGCACGCCCAGCGGCCGGTGGTACCCACGGGTGCCCTCCTGTGTCCCAGGTGAGCCCACAGCCCCTCCGGGCCTCTGCCAGCTGAAACTGTCTGCTCTCTTTTCCCCAAAAGCACTTGGAGGGCGGTTGGAGGGCGGGCATCACCAGGAGCGCTGCTGCATTCCCTCTGGGATCGCCAGGGGAGGGTGGCAGGGCTGTCCCTTCCCGCAGGGGACACCCACGAGGTACCAAAGCGCACAAGAATGAAGATTCTCACTCAGCTCACATTCTCTGGTGAATTTTCCCCGCTGTTTTCCCCTTTCTCTTCATCCCACAGCCAAGCTCAGGGGTGCTGAGGGGTGCTGCTGTCCCTTGCTTATTTTTGGGGTTTTCCACCAAGGCAAAGCTCTCAGTGCTGAGGCTCTGTGCTGTCCCTGATCTGTGTCCCCTGCTGTCCCCAGGGCAGTGCTGAGGTTGTCCCCTGGTCTGTGCTTTCCCTGCTCTGCGCTGTCCCTGCTGTCCCCAGGGCAGTGCTGAGGCTCTGTCTTGTCCCTGCTGTCCCCAGGGCAGTGCTGAGGTTGTCCCCTGCTCTGTGCTGTCCCTGCTCTGTGCTGTCCCTGCTGTCCCCAGGGAAGTGCTGAGGCTCTGTCCCGTCCCTGCTGTCCCCAGGGCAGTGCTGAGGTTGTCCCCAGCTCTGTGTCCCTGCTGTCCCCAGGGCAGTGCTGAGGTTGTCCCCTGGTCTGTGCTTTCCCTGCTCTGTGCTGTCCCTGCTGTCCCCAGGGCAGTGCTGAGGTTGTCCCCAGCTCTGTGCTGTCCCTGCTGTCCCCAGGGCAGTGCTGAGGCTCTGTCCTGTCCCTGCTGTCCCCAGGGCAGTGCTGAGGCTCTGTCCTGTCCCTGCTGTCCCCAGGGCAGTGTCGCCACCCTCCCTCTGTGGAGTTCGCCGACTTCCAGCACCGGCGCGAGTTCCTGGTTGGGAGCACGCTGTCCTACTCCTGCAGAGCCGGCTTCTCCCTGATCCCCGGAGTGTCCCCAACCACCACCTGCCTCCAGAACTTCACGTGGTCCCCGGTGCCGAGGCTGTGCCAGAGTGAGTGCATCCCTGCAGGGCAGCGATGGAGCGGCGCCGCTCCGCAGCCCGTCCCCGGCGGGGCTCCCTGCACCAGCTCCGGCTCTCCCGGCAATAATTCCGCCGCTCAGAAGGCGGCGTGCCTGGATAGGAAAAGCTGCAGCTCCCCCTGGTTATTCCAGCAAGGATTAGGGATGCAGCCGGTGACGAGCCATCCCCCCAGCGCGATTTCCAGCTGGGCACAGGGCTCTCGCATCCTTCTGCCTTCCAAAAGGAGCGGTTGTTATGCTGTAATTGGCATCCCTGAGCCTGCCAGCTCTGCTTGGAGGTGTCTGGCAGCGCTGCCTGGCAGCTGGGCTGGGTCAGGACAGCAGCGCTGCTGGGAATCCCCCCGTGCAAACCTCTCCTCTCTGCTGCTGCTGTCCCGCAGAGGTGCAGTGCTCCAGCCCGGTCATCCTCCACGGGACAGAGGCCAGCCCCAGGAGAGCCGAGTACACCTTTGGGCAGCAGGTGGAGTTCCAGTGTGAGCACGGCTACATGCTCCGGGGCAGCGACAGGGTCCAGTGCTCCTCTGATGGGATGTGGAGACCCCCCGTGCCCTACTGTGACAGGGGTGAGTGGGGACAGCAGCAGCAGGGCTGGGAATTCCATCCGTGGGGAGACAGCAGGGAAAAACCGTGTGAGGTGTGAGGAGAAAGTGCTCAAGCCACAGCACTGAAGGGATTTCCATCTTCTGCCAAAGCTGAGACTGGTGGAATGTGTTGGTTACTGGGACATGCAGCCACTTCTGCAAGGATTCTTCAAGGGGTTTATGATATTCACCATTCCCTGGCCTTGCTTAGGAGCAGGATCATTCCTCGTGGAAAAGAGGAGGGGGTAAGGAAGGGGAAGGGGCTGAAGGGGAGGGGGCAGACGCTGCAGTGCTGGGGCTGTGCTGAGAGTGGGTTCATCAGCTGGGTCAGTCTGGGAGCACTGGTACAGCCACGGCCAAAGCTGGCCAGAGGCAGAGGAGTGTGAGGAGAGCAACACTTGGCATGAACACAGAGAATCAGCCTCTCCTGTTACCTCCCTGCCTGCTGCCTCCCTAATGGAATTAGGAAAACCTGACTTTTCCCTTTACTCTCACACAGTCTGTGGCCCCCCTCCCAAAATCACCAACGGGCAGCACTCTGGCATGGGGCTTACAAAGTTCCCCTACGGCTCTGAAGTGAAGTACAGCTGTGCAGAGGGGCTGTCCCTCATCGGGGACGAGTCCCTGCACTGCACCTCCGAGGATGGGGAGAACATGACCTGGAGCGGGCCTGCCCCGGAGTGCAGGGGTGAGTGTTTGGGGTCAGACATGGGGTCAGACAATGGGGTCAGACAATGGGGTCAGGCTGAGCCGGCCCTGAGGGCAGTGCCAGCACTCAGAACAGAGGGGTTAAAGCCAGTAGGGCTGCCTGCAGATGCTCCTTCCTCCACACGAGGGGGGATGATCCATCTGGGAGTGACAGAATCCCAGAATAATGAGGTTGGAAGAGACCTCTAAGATCATCAAGTCCAACCTATGCCCTAACACCTCAACTAGACTACAGCACCAAGTGCCACGTCCAGTCTTTTTTTAAACACATCCAGAGATGGTGATTCCACCATGGGAGGACCCTGGTTCTCCTGGCTGGGGTTGTCAGGGGTGGGGAGGAGCAGCCCTGCCCGGGTTCTGCTGCCCCCAGACCCAGTGCCAGCTCTGCTCTGTCCCGCAGTGGTTCGGTGCCCCAGGCCCGTGGTGGAGAGGGGAAGGATGACCCCACAGACCTTCACCTTTCCCTACGGGCTGCTCCTGCACTTCTCCTGTGACCAAGGCTTCAGGCTGCATGGCGCTGCCCAGAGCCAGTGCCTGGCTGATGGCGCCTGGCACCCACCCCTGCCCACCTGCCAGCCAGGTGAGTGAGCATTTTCTCCTCCACCTCCCATTCCTTGATTTTTAATGTGCATTTTCCTTTCAGTTCATTGTCCCAAACCCCTGTAGCAGGAGGATGTAGGGATTCACTAACAAGCTGTGGTATGAGGTGAATAAACTTTGCCCTTCTACTGCAAATGGATGAGGGGTGGTTCCAAAATCTCCCTGCTCAGCTCATGGCCCCCGGGGCAGAGCAGAGGGCTTGGGGTGCAGCATTGCCTGGCTCTGTCTGTCCCTGGGGTTCCTGAGTCCTTCCCCTCTTTGCAGAAGAAACAACCTTCCCAAAGCTGGTGTTTTTCAGGTAATAGTTTTTATTGATAGCTGTGTGTAAAGGAGGTCTAAGAGAGGTCAGGAGTTCACTGACTTTTCCTCCCCTCATTGCCAAATGTCCACCCCCACTGTGGGCAGACACTGCCAGAAACAGCAAATCCATAAGGAACTCACAGCACCTCGCAGGGGCTGCTCTGACCCTCACCCTCTTCTTGAAGAGAAGTATTTTTGATTTCACAGCTCCACAATTTTAAGCTCCTCTGCACTGGCTCAGCCATCCCAAACTCCTTTCTGACCTCTGGCTGAGCCCTGGGCTTTCTTTTCAGTCCTGTGTCCACAGCCACGAGTGCCCTTTGGGAGGCTGAAAAGCCCTTTGGGTGGCAGAGGGTGGTACCAGGCCAACGAGACTGTCACCCTGGAGTGCCTTCCTGGCTACCAGCTTCCAGACAATGAAGCGATGGAAATGGAAAATTCTTGGACAGCCACGTGCTTGCCTGATGGCAGCTGGACACCACTGCCCAAGTGTGTGAGTACCACAAAAATTCAGAATGGTTTGGGCTGTGGGGAGCCCTAAAAACCATCCAGTTCCACCCTGCCATGGTTCAACCTTCCCAGGTGCTCAGTGCCTCAGGTTGCTGAGCCTGGCTGAGTCCCTGGGTGGGTGCTGCCTGATTTCTAACATGAAAACTGCTTAAACTTCTCAAAAGCTTTTCATTTCTGGTTCTGAGGAAGATGCTGCCCCTGCTGGGACAGGGCCCCCTCGCAGCTGAGCAGTGGGTGGCTCTGCCTGTGCTGCAGTCCATCCTTACAGGCTTTTCTGGGTTTTGTTTTCCTGTTTAACAGATGAAAGAAGGTGATGCTGATGTGTGTCAAGAGGTTCATTACATTAAATCGACCTTTGAATGTGGTGTGCCTATAGAAGAAGTGAAAAGTCTCCTGGAAATACAGAAACTGCTCCTGGAGATTAACAAACTAGAGATGGAGCTAGAAAACTAAAACAGAACTGGGTCCCTGTAATAGCTCAACTTTCCTTTGGTGAACTCACAGTTTGTGCAGTCACAGCATCTCTGAGAAGGTTCTGTGTGATTTTATGAGTTTTTTTTTTTGCATGCCTATAGCCAGAAAAATAATCACCAGTGCATGGGAGGCTGCTTTTGCTGTGCTGGATGCCAGAGCAGGGAGCGGGTTTTGCTCTAACCTACAAGCTTGATTTGCTCTTTTACTAATAAGTTGTTTCATGTTTCATATTAGTAAGAATAAAAATAGATTAAATTTAGCTTTTTAAAATCACTGGCTTAACTGTGGTAAGCTGAGGAAAAAGGGAGTGAAGTCCAGAAAAGCTGAGATGAGTCCAGAGTTGGCTCTGAAGTTGATTCTACTGCCAGTCCAGCTGAGGCCTGGGTACATTTGCACCCTGCTGCAAACAGTGGTGGCAAAAAGTGTTAAACCGGATTTCTGTTCATCCAGCTCCTGATTTCTGTTTGTCTGGGTAAGGGCAGCTCACATTAAGTGTCTTGTAAAGGCCGCCTCACCTCACCCTGGGTTCAAACAGGTTGCTGGCCATGCCATATATCTGAACTGGTGTCATCTTCCACATCCCAATTTTTGGTGGGCAAATGCTAAGAATAATCGTTGATCGGTCCTCACTGCCAGCCTCAGCACAAAATAAGAACAAAGCAACACAAATAAGGAGCTTGGGGCAGGAAGACCAGGAGGCTCTCCCCAAGCCTGTGAGTGACAGTTGTCCCTACCCTGGCTGCTCCCCATGTTCCTGACGGAGATCTCAGTTCCGTGGGTGTCCCGGGACGGTTTCCACAGCTCCAGAAGCTTGGAGGAGCCTGCAGTGCATCCTCTCCCAGCCCTGGAGGGGCACAGCACCACTGCAATGAAGTTGGAGCACCAGGATGGGGGGGAACGTTGGCCCCCCGTGCTGCTCCTGGCCGTGCTGGGGCTCCTCAGCATTCCTGAGGCTCGCGGTGAGTACGGGGCGTGGGAAGGACCAGGGACACCTGGGGATGCCACCCCCGAGCCTGGGGTCAGTGCTGTCACAGATCCAGCCCTGGCTGGTGCCTTTCCTGGCTGGGCCATCCCAGCCACGCTCCTGGGGCAGGGAAGGGGCCGGAGAAGAGGTTCCTCACCTGAGGAGATGTTCTCCTGCCGCAGGTGACTGCAGGCCCCCTCCTGCCATGACCCACTCCAGGCCCTGCAGCAGCTCCAGCAGCTTCCCGGTGGGATCCAGGGTGGTGTTCACCTGCGCCGAGGGTGCCCGCAGGATCCCGGGGCTGCCGGACACCGTGGAGTGCCTGCCTGGCGACATCTGGTCCTGGCTGCCCGATCCCTGCGGCCGTAAATACCCTCCTTTGTACCTGAAACACGGCCCGGGGTGGCATTCCTGTCCCTCCTGCTGGCTGCCCTGCGCTGGCACTGTCCCTGTCCTTGCCCAGGGGACAAACTCGCTGGGGTGGAACTGTCCCTGTCCAGGGGATGAACCCGCTGTGCTGGAACTGTCCCTGTCCCTGTCCCAGGGGACAAACCCACTGGGCTGTCCCTGTCCCTGCCCAGGGGATAAACCTGCTGTGCTGGCACTGTCCCTGTCTCTGCCCAGGGGACAAACCCACTGTGTTGGCACTGTCCTTGTCCCTGCCCAGGGGATAAACCTGCTGGGTTGCCACTGTCCCTGTCCAGGGGACAAACCCACTGTGTTGGCACTGTCCCTGTCCCTGCCCAGGGGACAAACCTGCTGTGCTGGCACTGTCCCTGTCCCTGCCCAGGGGACAAACCCGCTGGGCTGTCCCTGTCCCTGTCCAGGACACAAACCCGCTGTGCTGGCACTGTCCCTGTCCAGGGGATGAACCCGCTCTGCTGGCACTGTCCCTGCCCAGGGGACAAACCCGCTGTGCTGTCCCTGTCCCTGTCCACAGGGGACAAACCCACTCTGTTGGCACTGTCCCTGTCCCAGGGACATCCCTGTCCGCAGACCTGGACATGGCCGAGGCTCAGGTTGGCCGCTGGCTTTGGCCACCTCTACGGACATAAGCCAGGGCTGTCCCCCCACTGTCCCCACACTACGTCTCATGAGGACGGGTCCTCTCGCTCGGGGCTCCTGCGGCGCTCCCTGCACCCCAAACTCCTGCCAGCAGCCCGTCCCCATCTCCCTCCCCATCCCCGCGGCTCGGGGGCAGCGCGCTGGGTGGGGCACGAAGGGGTTAAAGCGCCCGGGGCTGGTCTGCGGGGAAGGAGCAGCCTCCCCTCGCCATGCACATCTGGATGCAATAAGGCTGGGGAGGCCGGAGCATTCCTGAGCACTGAGCTGGAGGCTGCTCTGCTGCCGGCCATGGGGCCCTGGCGCTGCCTGCTGCTGCTGCCGCTGCTCGCCCCGGCCCTGCACGCCCAGCAGCAGCAGTTCATGGAGTACGTGGAGCGCCGCATCACCCTCCTGGAGGTACAGCCCCGAGCGGGGCCCCACAGCCGCCCCGCACCCCGAATCGCCCCGTCACGGGGCTCCCAAACCTTCCCCATGGGGCCGGGAGTGGGGCTGGGTGAGGAGGAGATGGGATGGGGATGGAGGAACGGAGCAGGATGTGGGGTGTCCTGTGAGGAGGAGCTGGGATGGGGATTGAGCAGGGTGTGGGGTGCTCTGTAAGGAGGAGTTGGGATGGGGACAGAGCAGGATATGGGGTATCCCATAAGGAGGAACTGGGATGGGGATGGAGCAGGGTATGGGGTGTCCTGTGAGGAGGAGCTGGGATGGGGATTGAGCAGGGTGTGGGGTGTCCTGTGAGGAGATGGGATGGGTACAGAGCAGGGTGTGGAGTGCTCTGTAAGGAGGAGCTGGGATGGGGATGGAGCAGGATATGGGGTGTCCCATAAGGAGGAACTGGGATGGGGATGGAGCAGGGTGTGGGGTGTCCTGTGAGGAGGAGCTGGGATGGGGATGGAGGAACGGAGCAGGGTGTGGGGTGCTCTGGCAGCCCCTGCCAGGGTCCTGCACAGCCCAGCAGGAGGATACACCGGAGCAAGATGTGTGTGGGAGCACCGGGGGACAGGAGCAGGGGCACTGTCGGTCTGGGAGAACCATGGGAGCATCACAGGAATGGCAACATCACAGGAATGGGAACGTCAGAACCACAGGGACATCACAGGAATGGGAACATCACGGGTCTGGGAACATCATGGGAAAGCAGGGGCATTGCAGGTCTGGGAGAAGCATGGGGACATCACAGGAATGAGAACATCATGGGAAAGCAGGGGCATTGTGGGTTTGGGAACTTCACAGGGTCATCACAGCAATGAGGACATCAAGGATCTAGGAGCAGTGTGGGAGACTGGGGTACACTGTGAGTTCAGGAAGATCATGGGGGTATCCTGGGAGTGTCACAGGAGAGCAGGGCCTTGCGGGTCTGGGGACAGCACGGGAATGGGGGCATTGTGGGTCTGGGAACATCATGGGAGCATTGCAGGAATGGGCGTCACAGGTCTGGGAACATTGTGGAAGCAGCACGGGAGCATTGTGAGTTTGGGAGCACCACAGGAATGGGAACAGGGTGGGATGGGACCCAGAGCCACGAGCCACGTGTGGCTCTGGGGTCTCCCCCAGCCTGGGCAGGCTGGGACAGCTGCCAGTGGTGGGCTGTGAGGTTTGGAGACCTCAGTGTCCCCTTGGCCACCCCAGGAGAGGATCTCACAGTGGCATGACCAGAGCAGCCGCTACTCCACGGAGCTGCGGGACTTCAAGAACCAGGTGCTGGGGATGCTGGAGGCGGCCGAGAAGGAGCGGGAGGCGATGCGGGCGGAGGCCGAGAGCGCGGCCGTGCGCGTGGAGCGGCTGGAGCGGGAGGTGGACTACCTGGAGACACAGAACCCCGCCCCACCCTGCGTGGAGGTGGATGAGACGCTGATGGACAAGCAGGTGGCCACAGCCAAGCAGAGGAAGAACGAGAAGTACACCAAGCTCACAGGCGAGGCACTGCCGTGGCTCCCTGGGGGGATGGTCCTGTCTGAGGGTTACTCCAACCCTTCCTAGCCCATCTCAGTCCAGGTGTCCCCCAGCCATGAGCTGGGGCATTGTGTCCCATCTCAGATGTCTCTGGCACAAGCTCCTGCATCCCCCTGGTTTGGGAGCTGCAGCCAAGCCCCAGGCTGGAGCCCTGTGCGTCCCCAAAGCCTCTGGGGCAGGGCTGGGGTGAGGGTGGCTCCCCTGCCCGTGGCATGGGTGCGCTAGGGGACTTCTCAATGCCACCAGGGATGCACTTAAACCCCTTCAGTGAATTTCCAAGGCAGTTGCCTGATGACCAGGGTGGGACAGGATGAGAACCCAGCACAGGGCAGTGCAGCCCCGCTGCAGGGCCGGGCTGTTGCCAGGCTCACAGCCGCCCCTCTCTCACAGATTGCAGTGACACCATCGCCAGTGTCAGGGCCATGAAGATCCTGAAGCGTTTCGGCAGCGCCTCGGGGCTCTGGACCAAGGACGCCGCGGGGAGCTCGGAGAAGATCTACGTGTTCGACGGCACCGCCAACGACACGGTTTACATCTTCCCCCGCATGCGGGAGTTCACCCTCTTCTCTGCCACCCGCAAGGCTGCCCGCATCAAGCTGCCCTACCCCTGGGTGGGCACCGGGCACCTCGTCTATGATGGGCACCTCTACTACATCCGCCAGCAGGGCTTGTCCTTCCAGGTGATCAAGTTCAACCTGGCCAACAAGACGGTGGTGGACAGCTCGGTGTTCCCGGCCGAGGAGCAGATCCCTGTCTTCGGCCTCTCCCCCTCCACCTACATCGAGGTGTCGGCGGACGAGGAGGGGCTCTGGGCCATCTACGCCACCAAGGAGGACGAGAAGAACATGTGCCTGGCCAAGCTGGACCCCGCCTCGCTGGACATCGAGCAGATGTGGGACACGCCGTGCCCACGGGAGAACGCCGAGGGCGCCTTCGTGGTGTGCGGGGCGCTGCACGTGGTGTACAACACGCGCCTGCCCAGCCGCGCCCGCGTCCAGTGCGTCTTCGACGTCAGCGGCACCCTGGCCCCCGAGGACGCCTCCCTGGTCTACTTCCCCAAGCGCTACGGCTCCCACGCCAGCCTCAAGTACAGCCCCCGCGAGAGGCAGATCTACGCCTGGGATGATGGCTACCAGATCATTTACCGCATGGAGATGAAGAAGAAGCTGGAGGTCTGAGGGGCGCTGCCCGGCCCGGCCCGGCCTGCAGGACGGCGTCGCTGCCCCTTCTCCCATCACTGTGAAATGAGGAAATGCTGGATCCCCACCCCAGCCACCCCCCAGCACCGGGTGTC